AGCTTCTCCTTCGCGTGGTATTTACGGAGAAAATCTGATTATTTACAGAATAACGCAGGGATTTGGGTTCGTTTATGTCTGCGTGGGCGTTACGAGTCACCCCCCATCGTGAACTTGCATTAGTTTCACATTCTTTAGCCCTCTTCCTATCAGGCGTTATTCAATGATACTTTTATTTCCACCTCTTCAGTGCCCTTAGTCTCTCGAATGTGCCCAAGTGACATCTGCCGAGTGTGGAAGCAGGGTCCCAACGTGCGAATAGATGCAAGTCTTATTGGTTTCAACGGAACCTCCTCTTGGGTCCGTGGAAACATGTCCTACATCTTTCGCATTACCGGTATGCCTTTCGATCTATTTATCTTCCTTGTTTATTGGTCATTAAGCATTAAATTATGGCATGAAATTTCTATCAGGTTTACGCAGAGGTCCACATTTATAACCAGTATTGGTAAAACATCTTCTGTATGAAAAACTTTTGATTGCTTATTTGTGCTGGCCAGATGGCATCTGCATTCAGTCACTGTAATTGCTAATTTAAAACCATTAACTAAGGAACTTTTAATTGTTCTTCGTGTTGAATCCTTTTTGTTAGGAGTAAATATGTCCGTCTCCTTGTTTTGGTGTGGCAATATGCCAAAAATTAGCGCTTGACATCCTCTTGGGACCCACGTTAAACCGCCCTGGTGTGTAAATCTGTATCTTATATGAAACTGTTTAGTCGTCTTTTGTGTCTGGATTTGGAGTCGGAGTCTATAGATGATTGATTGGGACTGAGGTAATCTGTCCAGTTTTAGATTTGCTTTCCATTCTTTTAACAAAAGACGTTGGTTTCGTTCGATGTAATTAATATTGTCCCAGTCATTTTGTTTGGTTCATATCCCTGCGGCAATAGCTTAGGTATTTTCTCGCAAAGAGTGTTTGTTACCTGATTTAGGATTGGGGGCTCTGCCTCTGACTCCGACGCTGACGAGTATCCTTCGGCTGAGAACAGGTTTGGTGTTCGTTGGGGCTTGAACAGGGTCAAATGTGATTCATGTTGCACGTGGGGAGTAAGACAAATAATGCTCAAAAATTTCTCCAAAAATTTGGATTAAAATGGTCCCGTGAAGGCGTGAATGCTTTCCCTTTCGAGCATATATTTAACACTTCCACTAACAATGCTGGGTATGTGTGGCTACAGGGTTTTCCTCCCTGAACGTAGAAAGTATTAACGAGTGGAAAATTTGTCCGTAAATCTATAAGGCGGTATTGCTCATTTGGGCAATCAAGCATTAATGTGTGGAATTCAGCTAAAGCGTAGATTTTACTCGTTTGACTAGTACATGATGTTTCCTTGTTTAAGCAGCTAGAAATCATAAACGTGGTTCTTATTCGAAGAGTATACGTTGGTACCAGAAGAACAATGTCTCTGATTTTAATTTTGGTAAAGACCACTCTTCGAATTGATGCTCGTGCAGACATCCAAGTTCAAGTGCTGTCGCAGCAATATGTTCTCCGAATGTGCTTTTGTGAGGAACGCATAATTCAACTGGAACGCTGGCGAAATATAAGTCTAATCCACTGCAGTTTTGAGAAGCTGATTAGCCAGATGGGATTTTACATCAGAACAGAGAGCTAGGAAGGGGTTCGTGGAGGGTCGGGCAAGCTGGTAATCATGACCTCAGAACCGGAACAGGCAAGACACCACCGGGTAATGTTGAGCAAATAGATATGTAAGTGTGCCCAAATGTCATTCGACCATCTCTTTTTTGCGAACTCGCGAACCAGTCGGACCTGCAGTTTGATTTTGGAGTTTCATTTTTAAGATGGAGAGACCTGCCAAACGCGCATTCAAGTGTGTCACCAAAAGTAGCTTAAATAAACAATTGGTTTGTTGCGATCAGTCACATTTGAGGAGATCCTCATCAATTAGCAATGATGGAGTTTTATGTGTACATCTAGATAAGATGCGATGAGTGATTTAAAAAAATGATTTTTCACTATCCTTGAAGACAAGCAATGAAATAATTCGTTTGCTCTTGGAAGGTGGATATATCCTCCTAAGAACTATAAAGCCGTTCCTCTTCCTACTTTGCTAGAATAAGAGAATACATTGTTCTTGGTTTATTTTAGAACTAATTGACTCTCGCTGGAGAATGACCTTTATATTCCAACGTTATTTAGACTATCATCACTGATTTCATCCGGGCGACCCACTCATTATACATCCAACACCATCGACGTTCATCATCCCATCTTTAGGAAATGTGGTTGTTTTTTGTGTGCATAAATATCGTTCACATGGTAAAGACCAAGTAATAATTGACGCTCGGCATAAATATTTACATTCTTGCAAGACCTCATGTGCTAGGAAAATTTTTGAGAAACTCACTTGTACATGTAATTGATGCACACCTATCCTCTTCCTTCTTATTTGGTCGATATTATTCCTGAAAGCGGTAACAATTACGCCTTCTCTAGAGTATCATTCACGTGCGAATGTGGAAGACAAAATTAGCTATGTTGAAATGAATTCTGGCTTCTGCCCTTCCTTTCTGGGGGAGAATCTCAGGCAATAGCGGTGGTTGTTTCATTAAATATGTTTGCTTACGACTGTCATTTTCATCGATTCATAAAAACCGGTTTAGCATGGCTTTATGATAACAATAATCTTCATTGTATTTGCTATGAGCCATCTTCGCTGTTTAAGTGTATACAGGGTGTGCCTCCTTGGGAGCCTAGTGTTCTTCAGTTGTATTTGTCCAACCTTAGTTAGATTCCTTTGTGGCAAACGTTGGATAAGTGTCCCAAACGAATCAATTTTTTTCGTTCTGAATGCATCAACAGAGCAAGGTGTGGTGATGGATGAAGTGAACCACAGTGACCGCAGCATTTACCGTCACTCCATCGGATCATTGCTGTCTGCTTCCGTCTCTGCCTCTTCTCCTGCCGCCGCGTCGAGTGCCACTGCAGCTGGAGCTGGTCTTAGTACAGGTGCTGGGGCCGGTGCTGGAGTTGATTCGCTGCTGCACACGCCTTCCGACGATTTAATAGCGAAGAAACTAACACAACCCATCTTCGTAACCTTCCTTGACACAGATAAAATCGAATTCGTCAAGTAGGTCTTTCAAGGAAAATAGTCATTGGTTAGAATTGTAAGAATATTTTTGAGGATGGTGAGTTGTGCTGAGGGTTTGTGGTACAACTTTAACAAACTAATGACTTAAAACCTATTTTTCGTCGCTTTTATCCACTCCGAAAGGGATTAAATAGGTCAAGTTGGGGGTCCAATCTCTTCTTCCTCCTCAGTCATTAATCAAAAGGACTGTGCTGCTTGATTCGTAATATGCCTTTTTTAGATTTTTTTAAAATGGAATCTTGAATTGCTCATTTCACTAAGAGACAGTATAATTCACTGAAATTCCACGGGTGGTTTCAAAGTTTTTCTAAGAAACTTCATATTCATAAACAAATCCGTATTTATTATTCTTTTTTGCAAGAAAAGCTTGAAGTCATCAGGTAAGAAGCCACTTTATTTTCCTGTCTCTTACATTTTACTAAAACATCTTGCCACTTGCTTGCTCGTTTCGAAACAATCATTAAGGCTTTAGTAGTACCTCCTTAGACTGAATGATAATGTCGCCGACTTATTTTACCGTACGTTTGCTGCACACCTCGTGAAAAGTAATCACACTGCATCATTTTCCTCATTCTCATAGGATTCTCCAAGTTGATTGTTCACCCTTTCCCTTTGATGCCTTTATTAGGTGAATGAAGTGTCTTTTGTGTTAATTTTTCCTCTTCGACATTTATCTTCATGAGTCGATCCAGCAGGCCTAAATTTAAGCACCGGTTTCACAAATCAATTCCGATTTGGCGAACAGACTGTGTTCTTGGTGTTTTGGCTTCTTTCCTGCTGCTGAGCTGCTAATTTCTTGACAGGTCGGTTGTAAGCATTTAAGGACCTGAGAACCTGGTCATCGTTCCACTTTCCAACGCCTTTTTTCATCGCAGTTTCGGGGAGTTTCGCTAAATCAACTAGACGCCTTGAATATTCATGTTTTCGGAGCTGGTTTGTGCATGAAATAGTGGGCAAGATGTCGGATTTGGTGGCGAATCCCAGTCTACATTTTCAAGAAACACCAACGTTTTGGGTATTTCCTATTGCGAATACTTCGCGTTCTCACTCAGTTCTCCTAATTAAGGATCGCTACACGCAGACTTTAAGTGTACGAATTATTACTCTCTGAAGAAGGCCATTAGGGGAGATGTAAGGTCTCGAGCGAGAGTTTACCTCGGTCTCGAGTTCGTTCCACTTTCCCAATCTTCCTCCTCCTAGTCAGCAGGAGAGAACTCTACGCCTAAGTTTTCGACTTTGCGATTACCTTGACTGGGAGTTCGAGGGCTGTGTGCTCACACGTACAATTTCATTGGCAAACTCATTCGAGATTGATTCTACAGTCTTATTCGAGTCGGTTTCGCGGCTTACTGAGGTTTAGAATGCTCATAAATATTTAAAAAATGCAGAGGTAATATTTTTACCATTGATCTGAAAATAAAAGGTAAATATATTGCAATCATTATCCTTTTGTAGAAGTAAGAGTGGAATGTTTGGTTGGGGATCGGACAGAAAGGAGAACATCAATGGACATGAATGCCAGGTAATTCAAGTTTTCCCTCAAATACCTCCATTCTTTGTACTGGATGTTTTATCTTCGCTCTTCACTTCGCCTCCGCTTCTAGGCTTGTATCACTTGCGCTATCGAACTTCGAATCTCTCTCTGATGTGATTGCAAAATATTAGGGGTAGAAGCCATTTGAATCTCGATTTTAATGCCTCCTGTAATAGTGTTACTGAGTCCAATCGCACTAGTCATTATGCCTTTTATTCGGATTGGCCTTATGCATCCCTGTTTGCATCACACCAAAAGGGCGTTTAATGACCTTGGAAAGACGAGCTGACTGTCTTGCAAATGCGTAGTTTTCAAGAAACAATCATCGTTACCCACAATATATCTTCGTCAGTAGTAATTGGTACATAAGCATGTTTGTTAACTTAGATGACTACAGAAATCCTCCTCGTCTGTATTAAGTTTTAAAGTGCTTACTTTTATGCTCCATGGTCTTTTTTTGACGAAATCGGTAACCTCCTTCCCTTCTATCACACTTGTCTTTACTTAATTCGTGGAGGCACTGGATGAGGTCAGGCATATCCCTCTCCCATCTGAGTATCGAAATTCTTGTATGAGAAATCCCTGTACCAGCATAAGGGCCCCTAAGAATGGAGCCTTATTCTCACCCATTGACTGGCCTTCTTGATCAAGTTGTATCGAATAGATGCCTCTCATCCTCAGGCACTTTTTGTCTTCCAGTTAACAAGCGACTGTGTGCACGAAATAAAGGTAACGCTGCATTCCGCTCCATATTTCTTCAAGCTATTATCACTTCTACTTGTCAACGGGCACAAAACTGGTAACAGTGATGGATGGATCTTAGTTTTTCCTTGAATTCCAGAGGCAAAGTGTCTCTGTGAGACATAACTTGCACGCTTTTGTTCCGTTACTGGTAAAAGCCTCGAGAATTTGACTGCTCACTTTTAAGGGTGGAACAACATTAATTATGTTAAACGCTGAAATTTTTAGAAGCAGGTTGTTGGAGCAGAAATGGAACATATCAGGTGTAAATTTTGACCTCATATGGGTTCCCTACTTTTTACCACAAAGAAAGGCTGTTAAACAATTCAAGTTATGCCCTGGCCTGGAATCATATCATCGGCAAATTGCTGCGGTTCTCCCAAATAATCCATGGAACTAACATCATGAGCCCCTGTTCATACGTTTTTCACCTTTATTTGTCAGTTCTGCTCTTTTTCCCTCGTATCTTCGATCAGAGCCGTAATACACGGTTAATCATTGTTTTTGTGTTGTTCAACCCTAACAAAATGCACTACCACCCTTCAGTTTGTGTTATGTATCGCCTGACTTACCAGCCTGTCAAATCCCATCAGTTTGCTTTTAATCGAGTAAAGTAATAGTGCAGGATTACACTAGGAAATGTCGAAATTTTAACAGAGAAGGGAAATGAACTCTCCAAGATTTCACCAACGCGACACAAATCCTTGGCCTAATTTTTGGTACCGTTCCAACCAGCAGTTACACTATAAGCATTCTGAAGTATGTTCCATTCAGATCGTCAACTTTCTTACTTTGTCAGTATTCGACTGTTCTATAATCTCTTAAATTGTGATGGCTCTCATCTTTTCCAAAAATGCGCGTAATTGCTCAACAGGTCAATTTCATCATATTTCCTACATTGGCTGCTTGGAGCATCCTCCAATGCCAGTTCCGCCCATTGCGCACAAGCTTTGTTGTGATTGCCCATTTGCTGTAAGAATGGGAGTGTATGCGCTTCTTTTACTTTACGTCTTTTAGCCGAAATTTTTTTCTCATCTGCAGGTGTGCAGTGCAGCAAACGTACAAATTGTGACCCTACGCAGAACAGAGCACTTGACAGAGGAGAACCTGCGCGACATTCAGGAGTCGCGTGCCAACAGCGGTAACGACTCCTCTGCAGTCAGCAACAATCCTCTAACCAACCTTTTGGGTGGGCAGAACTTCGAGAAGTCGCGCCATGTTCAAATTACCAATGTAGGTCTCATCCTCTTTCACAACCATTGCGTCCTCACGGTTCCATGTGGTACAGTGTTGGATTCGGTTCTCATTCTTATCTGTAGGCAGATGGAATGAGATCCACTTTTTAGTCATTTTCGCCACAATTCTTCATTAGCCACCATACTGAATGGTTCACTGTGGAAGGCAATCCCTTAAGCCATTCGTAAGCTATACTTTTCGCCGTTGAATTCATTTATTCCGCCTCCAAGCTTGTCGAATGTAGTTTTTGCATCTGTAGATCCACACCTTTTTGCCTCGATTTTCCCAATTTTATGGGAATGACCTTACTACGGTAGCATTGTGAAAGGTTTCTAGGACGCCTTAAACTAAAGGTAGCCTTCAAATTACTGACAATGATAACTCCTCACAGAATTCAAAACACCCTCAATGAAACAACAAATAGGATTCTTCGCTAAATAGTTCTGTGCAGATCAGATGGTTCTCATTCCATTCATTCATTGCCCCTTGTGACAGAGTACAGTGTAATGATGCCTGCACAAATATGGCAGAGCGTAAGGTAGGTTCTACAGAAGGAAAGAAAAGGGAATTACTGTCATCATCGTCGTACTGAACCGGCTGGCGTGTGATTGGACCTAGGCCGAGGGATGAATAGTAGAGCTGGATGAAAAATCGAAGATTCGAACTTATCGTTGCCAATTCGTCCCTTGTGTTTTAGGCGCGCCTTACTCGCACCTATACGATGCTAGATTGGTCAGATTATGCAACATCTGTCAGTGAATCATCAGATTGTACAAGAATCCAACACCTTCAGCATTGGACTCCAAGCTTAACTTTTTGCTCTAATTTGAGAAGCTGAGCTCTTTAATGGGTTTAATTAACACTCAGTGGCAGTGGGGAGGGCAATAAGGAGGGTGGATTTGATGATACCCTTGTGATTCGTTACTTCAAACCATCCCGCGTGTTGGATAAGCTCATACAAGTTGTACACCACATAAACATTTTGGTGACAGGATGAAAGTGATCAGAACAAGATGGCTAAAAGAACCATGGACACAGGAGTTCACCAGGCTGCACTTCCTGCTCATACGAATTCTTTTAGCCAAATGACTGCTGGTCAAATTAATGAATCATATGTGATTGTTTTTCCCTACTCCTCCTTATGTCGCCCTATTCAAGCCCATGGTTTGATATCTTTACACAGGAGAAGTTGTTTCTTTACTCATCATGGTTAAAGCAAATTTACACTGGCACCTCAAATAATTCGCAGCTGTCACTTTGCTTCGTGTTACCGTCAAAGAGGCAAAAAACAGTTCTATGGACGCATGTCAAAAGAGGCTGAAAGGTGAGGCGTTGCATTGAAAGGGCTAGCTTGATCCCATTCCCCGTATGTCTCATCAGGAACTCATTTATACAATCCATTGTTTTATCAAACGAATTTTAAGCGTTTCCTCCATTAAACTTTACGTCAGACAAATCGTTTTCCTCACCCTATTTCTCGCCTAAGATATCAGCTCATAGACACTCCAACATCCTTTGAAAGTAAGAAATACCCGAATCGACACAAACTGAAAGAACTTGCCTTTTTCTTCAGACTCAGTTTAGAAAAGGACTCCAATTTCATCAATTGTAAATACAGGCAGGTGGATCGAAGTCGCCTGCAGAGAGCAGTCAGTTAATAATCTTTTTTTCAGTGTTGCACCTTCCATCGGATGGACCGCTTTGAGATGAAGTGATGCCCTCTGGAAGTACATTTCATGCTCCGTGCGTTGAGCCGTTTAGAGTTGCCTCTCGAGATGTTTCTAATTTTATCGTCATCTTGAATCGACCTCGTTACTTTTTTGTGTTTCTTCTTTGGTTTGTGCCAACCAGGAGAAAGTGAAGACTTATTATCATCATTACAGATCGTAGCAACTGGATTTATCAACACCAAATATCTTATTTTTGTTTACTTGCTTCTCTTTATGAGTAGGTTCTCAAATGTTTGGAGCAAGTGTGGCGTTTGGACCGTTGCTAAGGGCGATGTCAGATCCCCAGACTTGGTCTTAACCCTAGCATAAGTCTCCTGAAGTGGTGACAGACCGATACAGCAGCACAATCCTACACTACTGAGAATATCATATCAGTATCCAATCAGTCCTTGGTGGTATGACTGGGCGGCCAAAAATGTTGGTATTTCATTTCCAATGAGTAAAATGTTGAATGTATCTTATTAAAGCAAATGTTACAGTCGCCTTTAAGGGTGGGATTGGAAGTAGACTTGGACAAGGGCAAGAAGCTTGAGAACGATTTGCTATGTAATATCCATCTGGTTGTCAAATTGCAAGGCGAAGAAGGAATGTCATTTCGACTACAGTCATGGTGTCTATCACTGTCTGAAGCTGGTTACTTATTCCTTTTCAAGACTGTCTCAAGCGGCACCCTTACAACAGATTTTTTAGCTTTGGTATCGTCCATTATTTAATTTGGATTGGCCTTCGAGTACCAACGTTTGTTTTGTTGTTTCTCTGTTTCACTACTGCAGTCTGATCATCAACATTGACCAAGATGTGTTGACTTAAGAACCAGTTTGTAAAGCCAACCTCCCCATCGATTGTAGATCAAAGTCATTTCCTGGAATGTTGTCAGGACCAATATGCAGGAAATGGTCTGAAGGAGTAGTAGCATGCGCAGTGTGGACTGTTCTCCACACACTCACCATTCACATCCAGCCATAGGAGATCGGATATTCCAAACAAATTTTACACTACCTCTTAAAGTCGCGACAACACCTTAATCAACTTTTTTGCCATCCAACAGGAGGCGGCCAGCTACAATCCGAGCAACATCACAATCGAAGATTATTTCTCTCACGACCCAGGCGCAAAGCCGAAGAGTGAGATAGGTCGACCAAAAGTGATGACTGCAAAGTTGAAGACTTACAAGGCGCATCTATGGTTGTGTGAGGACTATCCATTGTCGTTGAAGGATCAGGTCCTCCCCATCGTGGAGCTGATGGCTGAGTATAATCCTTTTTTCCACAAGTTGGAGGAATTTCTAACCAAAAAGCTACCTCATGGGTTTCCCATGCGTGTCGGTGAGTTTGCCATTTTTCCTCTTGTTTCTCTCTTCTCCGATGATTTATGACTATAGGGCTTCATCTAGATGCAGTAGTTGTGGTTTTGAGGAAATAGTTATTTGAAAGGCCATTTTGAGCTACCAACAATCACAAAGCAGCACTCTCATCCTAGTACCACTTAATCTTTCGTTGAGGACTCGAATTTTTTTAACAATCAAGAACAATTTTCAACCTGTGTTCCTGTTGGTTTTGTATTGTTGATTGACATGAAGTGGAGACAAATTGTCCGAGTATCGATAGTCACGGTAAGATCAGGACCATTCAAATGCTGCAAGTGTTTTAGAACGGCGATCATGCTGCCAGATACGCAAATGTTTTAGTCCTGATAACCTAAAGTTCCTCTAATCTTGTCTGTTAGTTATGCCAACGAGGACCGTATGGCGGCAAAATGGTTTGACAAATCGCTAGATACCTTGATGGCATTTTTACTTTACCTGCATAATGCTTTGTGAGGTGGAAGGAACGACTCTTAACTCAATCTGGTAATCGGAACGTCATAGTTACATTAAGTGTAGAACTGAGGGGACATTTTTCTTCTGCGCCAAACGAGGCACTTTGGGGAGTTTAAGTATAGTGTTCAATTGGGCGACTGTAAATTATTTTTTATTGTGCTCAGTGAACAAAAGTAAGGAATCTCTTGGAGTTCGCCGCCTTGGAAGCTTACTTAGAACGCCCTTCAGGCGAAGCCATTTCAAATTACGAGTTTCGATGATCGTTGGCTTTAGTGTGCGCTTGCGGCAATCATTGAGCGCTCTTAAGGCATGAGATGCTGAATGAACGAAGAAGTCGTAATAGCCTAATGTCTGAAATGTGGTTTTATAGTTTCCACGATCTTTCCACTTAGCCAAGTAACTAGCATGAAATACTGGAATCGACGGTTGAATAGAATTTCTTCGAACAAACTGTCTGTTCTACTTTGCATGTAGTTGCGTAACGATATAGAGACGTAGCAGCTGTTCACAAACGAAATATGGTGTGGATATGGATGTGGCGGTGTCTTAGGCGATTGAGCGTTTTGAGTGGGGTGCGCATTGAGAAGACGGGTCATTCATCTGTTTAGAAAGTACTGTTGTGTGGTCAACGTAAAGGAAACGAAGGACGCTGATAACCTTTGAAGCCCAGAAGATTTAACGTTTTCGCTTTCTTACATAATGAAGGAAGGTGTTAAGCCCTTTCATTGGAGAGCTTTTGTTAATCAGTTGCACATGGCACTGAAATGATGTTTTTTTTTAATTGTATGTGAGCTGCGTCCCATATCCACAACATATGTGTCCAACTTGAACCTTTTTATTCATATTTTGCAAGATGGCTTGCTGCATGCCTTTGCAGTAAAGTAGCCTCAGTTTAACCAGACTCATTAATCCTGCCGATTTTTTTTACAGTGACCGGTAGTTTTGGTTCCAGTTTTAACTATGGAATGCTTCACTAAAGGGAGGTTGCTCAATTACAACGCGGGAACGTCTACTAAGAGCATACCCCTCCCAGAGTTTACTTGTTGTTTAGGCGGTATCTGGTAAAGGAAAATTTGTCGGTACTACCTGGTTCACTTTGTCATAGTTTCAGAAATGGTGTCCTGTAGGGAATTTTTTAGAGCATAAAGTAGCTGAGCATTGCTTCCCATCTCTCCTCCCGAACTTCCTTCCAAAGCAAATCGAAAACTCATGGAAGGAGGTAAACAAGCATTGCGATAGCATTATATCTTTGCTGTCGTTCACTTACATTGCTCTGTTTTGGAACTTGATGAACACACTTCGTGTTTTTTCCCGTAATAGAAATACCATTGTATCACATTCTTAACGCCTGTGTGACCTTTGGCAACCTCTATGGGGGCGATGCGCCGGCTTACGGGGTAGTCTGCGACCGGACCGCAACTTCTTCCACAAACACGTCCGCTGAGCCTCTCGTCGGTGGCAGTGGCAACAGCAGTAACGTCGCCAACAAGATTGAGCCTACCTCTTGCGTTGTAGAGGATTGTGTCTTTGATGTGGGCCGTGGCTACCACCTCATTGGTATGTTTCCCTATTGTGATCTGATCGACACCTCGAGTGTTTATAGGTGCCTTTAATCTGTGAAACGTAGTGGCATTTAATGTGTTGATTGGTGAAAGTGTGTTTGTGCTACCGGGTAATCATTTTTATGAACATTCATGCATATTGATGCCTATCACCCCTCACTTTCTCAGAAACGTTTGCATCACCTAGCACTTCGATGAAAGGTGAACTACTTTTCTCCCTTTCTTTGCCGATGCATTCATGTGGCCTGGCGACAAGACTTCCTTCGTGTTTTAACCGTGCATTTCATAGTCTCACTAACCAGTGACCGTAACCGTTATGGCGTTTCTATTAACCAAAGTGAATTCGCACGCGACTACTCCCCAACGAAAGCTAACTTTCTCTTTCATTTCAAAACTCCGCCTCATTGGCTTCTGCGATCGGTTGTTTCATTGAATTTGACTCCTACCTCCTTTCACACCACACAGAGCCTATTTTAACCTCAATATTTTCAAACACTAATGTAAGTGACCTATTCTTTTTGCCGACTTTTTTCCAGCAAGATTAGGCAACCCTTTACTTACGAGCTTCATTTGACACGGGAACACTTGCCAGTTCCCAGGCCACAAGTTACTTTTTTTCCAAACTTGAAACGAAAAAAAATTTAGTTAGTTGCAGAATGAAGCTAAGGAGGAAGCCTATGGTATTAGTTTGTTGTGGGATGGAATCAAATGCCTTCCCAAGCATTTTTTTGTTCACAATCTTCTACGACGAGAAAAGACAGATCTGAGACAGGCGCTTCCACGAAACTGTTTGAACTGGAGTAATTGTCAACCCGATTTTAGTCGTCTCTGTCTCTTCCTCTCCTTAGTCCTCCACCAAATTAGATAAACACCGTCTTCGAGGACACAAAAGAAGATCTGAGTCCTTTTCTCCTGTCGTGGAGTGGTGGCGGTTTACACGACGCAGGCAGGTCGCAACCTTAATTGCTGGTTAGCCTTTACCAAGCATTAGGCTTCCGGCAACTAGGTGGTGCTTGCTCCAAAAACGTGGGATAGTGGGCGATGAGTAAAGCTGGACTCGTTAACTATATTCAGCAAACAATGGCTCCCAATGGTTCATTGTAGCTGCCTAATGTGCGGATAGGACCTGATTATTTATTTAATTATTTATTATGTTCTCCAACTACTTTCTTGTGCAAGGGTGTAACATACTTTAGTCAAATCTGCATCTGCTCCTGCATATTGAAGAATATGACCTTGATCCATTGTCGGAATGGAAGTCTTTCGAAGCGTTTGTGGACGACACATATCCTTCGGCAAATGTATTGCGAAGCAAACGCCTGCGGTGTAGCGCAAAGTTCACCCAAAGATTATTTTGATATGGAGGGCTTGAAAGTGCGGGATTAATAGTGACGAGCACGGTAGGGGCAAATGTACAGATGGGTGTGTATCATCGGGCTTCATAATCCATCCATGTAGACAGTCGTTTGTATTTTAAATGTTTTCATGAATTATCAAGTTTAAGTGAGTCTTACTGTTGGTCAGGGTGACCTTTAGTGGTCACCTGATGTGGCATCACTTTGCTCCCAACGTATGCGTGCATAATCCACCACAGCTTCGACCAATCAGAGAGTCGTCTACGTGACACATCCTCCGCACCAATCAAGCAGCAATGATGGGAAGCGGAGGTGAAGCAACGCTGGCATGCAATGCTTGGACTTTCAGGTCACTATGTCTTGCTTATGAGGTGATAGTGACAAACAGTGCTAATATGGGGAATGGATTTGTGTAGTTCAACTTTTGCATAGACGTCTTTCTGACGGTGGATGAGGGATGGCGAAAATGACATGTTCAGTGTCTTCAAGAGTAGGTTCAGGAATGTGCCGTTCTCAAGCCGTCGACGGTGGTTCCTTTGCCCTTATTCACCTTGGTTCCTGATAGTTTTGAATAGCCCTGATTACGTTACATTTATCTCTTTAAGTGAAGACTGGTGGTGGACTAGCATGGATTCATTTGAGTATTGTAAGGAGGAAAGAATGCATTAAACTTTCGTCTGTTATGTTCAAATAAATCAAATTTTACGTTGGAGAGTGCCTTGCTTACAAGAAACGGTTTAATGCTTTGAAGTGCCAGTGGTTGAAGGCATCCATGGCCAGCCATCTTGAAGACAAATACAGACTTTTAGAATTTACCTGCTAGCTCATTCTTCCGTTGGTCCTGTTTGCGTCCACTTATCTCAACTTCGTCCCCAAATTCACTAAAATGCTTTCAATTCACCTTTCGATTATCTATCACTTCCTCTTCGTACTCATCAGTCTCCAATTCTTCGGATTAAAAGCCATTACCTCAGTCACCCATCCGCACCGAAGCAGTTGTTGAGGCGAAATTTCACCTCAATCCACCTCTTCGTGCATCAGCTTAAGGGATGTACTTTGGATGTCTGGTCACTGTCTCGTGTCACCAACTTGGCTGCTGCTACTTCACATGGAATTCATTGTGTTCCATTCTATTCGCCTTATCTCAGTTCTCCACATGCCGACTTACTGTCTATGCTTTCACCAGATTACTGATTGCCGTCTCAACATCCTTTCCGTTATCTTTTTAAATATTCCGGACTGTTGCGTTAGCTCCACTGTACTAAACTTTGATTTAGAGGAGCAACGAAAGGGGTGTTGCCTCGAGGTGTCTTCTTAAGAAACGTTAAAATTTCAAGTAAAGACGTGCCGCCACCATATTTCAAGCTCAACAACTCAGTGTTATCGTTGTTTTGGAGAAACCAGTGTTTGAAGTGATGTAAATAACATTAAAAACCAAATGTCTATCGTCTCAGCCTTCAAATTTCTCCTTGAAACCGTGCTCTCCCCCTCTCCCTTCTTCCCCATATATGCTCCCCACAGGCGATGCTACACTCAACCAACTGCGCTCCTCGACGAGGGAGGGGACGGAGGAGTGACTGGGGCGAATCAGTTACATCACTATGGGATTCATGTTAGGATTCGACGAATATGGCTAGAGCACCAATTACCCCATCCATCCCCGTCCTATCCTAGAGTTATCAATAATGTTAGGAGAATTAGGTGGCAAATTTTAATCGGGCTAACTAGTCCAATATTAGATTATTTCATACAAGGAATGAGAGAGTGAAAGAAACACTGATCCTATGGTTGAATAATTCGATATAAAATTAGAACAATAAACCCCTCTTGCATTAGGCTTTGTAAAGATTTGCATTCATTCACTGCCTGACTACACTTCTACCGTGTAGAGGAGACCTCACCAGGCCACTTCGGCACAATAGACGAAGAGGAACAACTTGTGCAGATGGCAGTTCAACGATCCCTTGTCGAGTATGGCGGAGCGGAACACCTTACCCAACGTCAGTACTCTCTTGTGAGTTCAGATCTACTTTCAATGTGCTCAAAATACGCCCATACTTTGGCAGTCTCTATCGGCTACTTGTTTATCTTGCTTTGCCTTTCATTCATGTACTAGCTCACTCATTCATTCCTTCTGAAAAACTGTTCTTCCAATCACTCTGACCTTCATGGCATCTCCTGTTATCTTTACGCCCCGATTCATCCCTCCCTCTTAAACTCATCTTGGCACACCAATCTTTCATCAGTCCACACATCTCGAGATTATCCATGCACAATTGATCTGACAGTACCCAATTACTCCATTGATCCTTTCAAGCCCTCATCGTTTCGCATTTGAGTTATTTGAAGGACTTTCATAATAGCCGATAGCGATAGCATGTAATCCATATTGTGCATCTCAAATCTTTGTGAGCTGACACGTCTAAATATCAATATGGTTACATAGCCTGCTATTTCAACTATGGTTCTTATCCCCTTGTTCACCTTTTCGTACATGCATTACTTTGGAGTTCATTCATTTCCATTGCGCATTTAGGTATCTCAAATTCACCCATCAAGATTCGGTGCTCAAATAATGGCTTTAGAATGCTCGAGTGTAACTGTGTTAACATGTTCGAACTGCTCAATGCTTTGGGTAACACTTTTCATCGCTTCCTCATGGTCGTATCATCAACTCAGGCGTTTTAGGCGGCGGAATTTTAATCTTTCTTCCATTTTTGGCCAAAAATGACAAACTATCTGATTTTATTATGATTTAGGCCAAGCGAGGGGTTGTTGAAGCCCGTCCGGGCGAATACGTGGATCCCGAGGAGGCAATGATGCAAGAGTAAGGCATCACTTACCTTATAATTACTGTTACTAATTAAAAAAAGTAACAATTATTTGTTCTTGGGATGTGCCTAGGGCAATTGCGGAGAGCTTCCAACAGGACAGTGGACTTAATGATCTAGAGCAGCAGTACCTTAAGGCGCTTGAGTTGTCACGAGAAGAGGTGCTGCAAGAGGAAGAGCGGCGCAAGCGAGAGGAGGAGGAATTGGAGCGTGTGCTAAAACTATCGTTGGTGGAAAATTAGGCCTAATGGGTTTGTATCTCCCTACTTCCTCCTTCCTACATAGTCTTCATCCTCTCCCTCGTTTCTTGTGTTTGTGCGTGCCTACTCTTTTTTCTCCCCGTCTCTGTTACCACGATGGTTTTTTTCGTAACCGCACGCACTTTTGAATAGACTTGGCTTCGTCCTTCCCCATTATTCCTTTTCGACTAATCTTACCCTTTAGACGCATCAAATACACTGAATTCTGCATGAGAATCGACATCTTGAGAGCTCTTTAAAAGGTCAAGGTTTGATCGGTTTATTTCTCCGACATGAATGATCGGGTGGACAATTTAATGTTCTTTTCAACCGTCGTCCTTACACTTACACCATAAATGTTGTGCGCAAATAACAAAAATCACTAATTTGTGCCTACAAATTTATGGTGACTACTTCCAGCATATCATTTTATGTCGACAGAAGAGATGCTTGATGCGTTCGTTCGCGGTAGTACTGTCAAGGTAGAACCAACCAGATCGATAGTCAAATTGCTGGTATCAAAATTGAGACAGCGAATCACCCAAAATGTCGTGAAGGACTGCCCTTCCAAGCATTTTAAAGTTTGAGTGTGTAAGATGAAAAGCACTCAGAATTCAGTCTAACAAGACGGCGAACAGTATAATTAATGGATTGGGACTTTAACAATTCTGAAGCTATTGGGACTTTGGTCAAATCCGAAGGTCCCAGTATTGCTCACCTTCCTTCACCTGACTAACCTCTGCTCCAATAGTGCGTGCCGATCTGTCGAAACATTCATGTTTGGTACACAAATGTGCTCGTTTCAAGAGCGCAATGAGGCATCCAGTGGGTGTTTCACGCCGTCTTACGAAAACTAAAGTATGCAAATACGAAGTCACAAGCAGTACCTGAAAAATAATGGTGATTTAACCCCTGAAAAAACACGCGACTGTCTTGTCAAGAGGTGTATGCAAATTGGACGTTGCTCGAAAAAACCTGTTTCTGTAATAATTAAGATGTCATTTTGTTTCCTGCACCGAGGAAAATGGATCTGGTGTTACGTTCGGTCTGACAACCAAATTTGGGGCCGCATATACCTGTTGATCAGGAATAGGCGATGGAACTCTGGTCTAAAGCAGATATGTTAAAGGGAAAAAGGGATGAGTCACTGTCCCGTATGTAAGGAGAACCGTAGTGTCATTTCCGACACCTAAACACGGATCTCGTATGGAGAATTCTGACATGAAACCTTTCCAGATAGTTCACTGCGGTGTCGCTTCACTTGTTAATAGCTTGTCTGTGGAACATGGGAGTAAGGTGAAACCAAGGCAAGGCATGCAAAAAAAGAAGCTTGGAAGGAGGTTTTTATTGTGATGGTTTCATACCAATTTAATACTTTTAATTGCGCGACAGAAGTACCTTGGAGTGAACGTTACAATCAGTTTTCGACATTGTTTTCAACAAAATCCCACAGCTGTTCCAAAGTTTGACACAGCGAAACCTCCTGGTAATAGCTCAACCATCCTCCATGTAACCTCGCTTACCATCGCTCCCAAAAGGTTATCTTTCATTGCGTGCTAATTAGGAACTCCTAGCGCAGAAATGGCCACCTTGCCTGTGGCCTAGCAGTTGCCACTAACAACACATTCAGACCAGTATCAACATGCCATGCACATCTCACCTGGATGTGGTTGCAGGCCTTTATCACCTTGCTTTAACATTCTAGTTTTCTTCTTGTCTCTGTACAAATTGAGCGTCCACTTCTCTCGGACACACAACGTCTTAGTCTTGACGACACTATCCCTGCCCCTGTCCTATCCCGTCCTCAGTCAGGACGTAGACGTGAGGGGCTACTCGTAACCACAACTCAATGATTACACCCGAAAATTCAAAAACTCCCACCATCTACATACACAAGGACATATTTTTTTTAAAATATACTGAACCACTATTAGTCCTTCGGAAGAGGCGAACTACTACTTCGTAGAAGAAGGGATGAGAAAGGAGAACGTCTTAAGTCTAGAGGACAATGCAGAAATCACAGGATATTTGACGAAACAAATACCAAAAAAGCTTTTCGATGGACGTTAACGAGAGCTTATCATTGGAATATGAGATTCCACACTTTTTGGCTGCTCTCCCGAGAGGTACTGGTAGTGTAGCGATCGGAAAAAAACATTAATTATGGACTTAATTAGTGACAATGATCACCTTGAAAAAGCACAAACAATAATCATCAAACCCTTGCTTCTCCTTTACGGAAAATTTGTATTTTACAACAAAAAAACCTGTTTAAAATTTCTGTAAGAAAAGAAGATTAGAGAAGATAAGTCGGCATGGTGGGTGGGAATGGCAAATAGACGATAAAAGATGGGCAGATGGCAAATTGAGGAGAAACAATATCGGCGCTCATCAGCGCGAGTATTTCGGCTCCAGATCGGGATGTGCGGAGGGGACAGTGGTGTCAGGGATGTCGTTCCAATCGGGTAATTTTGGGTCCTTCAAATACGCGTCACGTAACAGAGACCGACCAGGGAGACACTCTAGAGCACCAAATATCGCACCTGAAAGACCAAAACAAAAACACGCCTTTTGTTGGACACTGTGGAACCATCCTGAGGCGAGTAATTTCGGTTGTGGAAAGGCGTAGACGAGCCATGCGTAAGGATTGCGAAGAGCCATTCATAGAAGAACGTTGGCTTGTCGGGTCATCGATACCCACTCTCCTTTCCTTCGAGTACAAGATGCCAATTAAACCCTCCCCAACCAATCCTTTTATGAAGCCAGAGGTTCAGGTGGCTGAGGGTAAGCTGGGAAGTCCTATACTGTGTACGTTTCAGATCCTCCTACTTTGCAGCAGGAATCATGTAAGTAGATTGCCCTCAAGTCTACTCAGGACTTCCATTTTTAAAATGGTATGACAATCGAACATTAACTGAAATGTTATAATGAGCAATCGAAAGTAAGGGGAAAGCATTTGAGACAGCCGATACGGAATTTTGCACCAATCACAGCCCACGGATCATACACGCACTTTTACATTGAACGATACTGTAATCAGCGCAGTTGAAGATCGCACAAACTTCATCCACTTGATACTTTCGAAATAGTAGCTGGGACGTTCAAAAACACAGTTTCTGATGAAAGACAGGCTCGACTATTCGTTTATAGGAATTCCTTTGAAAGGAGTTCCATTGAGAAGTGATCCTGTAGTTTGGACTGTAAAGATCCAGGCTGATTTTAAACATTCGGAATAGGGCCATCTAGCGCAAGATGGCCAGTATCCAGCTTAAAACGCTTTTATCATCAAGTATAAGATGTTACCATAGTCTACCCTACCTACAGGTTTGCAACCAAGATGCGGAATTTCGCAATAGCTCATGTGATAAAAAAAATCAGCAATGAACGTCAAGAGTATTAGCTTTATCCTATATTAGGCATTTCGCTGATATCTTTTTTTACCTCTCCGACTAAAAACATGAGCATCACGTTCACCTCTCCCTTCAATGACGATCTCTGTGATTAGGATTAATGACCTTGCTTTTCAATGACGAGAGGTCAGCAAAGAGACGCTTTCAAAAAACAAAGGTTCTACAAAATAATGTACATTTTCAGGGCATAATAGGCCCTTTTGGCAGCAGGAAAGAACCAAAGAACCTATTTCAGAGCTAATAAGGGGTGGGAAACTGACCTCCAAGCCATGCGGTGTAGTTGGCCTTGGCGGGAGGATTATGAAACTTGATGTGCTGCTTGAGAGCCGCCAATGATGCGTAGTGAGGAAGTTCAAGGGCCTTTTGTAACTCTTCATTGAGACGCTCCATGAAGCCTGGCAACATTGTCGTGCCACCTATGCACACTACATTCTGTGCTAGAGACCTGAAACAACCGAATATCCACTTCTAAATGCCCTCCATATAGTGGCTTCAATGCATTCGCTATCAAATCATCAACCAATAAAGAGCCGATTTAATGAGCACTTAATTTCACGAGTCGATGGAACCTTGCGGTTCTGATCAGAATACGTAAAAACGTTCGCTAAAAAAGCTGAGCCTATTTCTCCAATACGATAACAAAATTTTGGAAAGGAGTTGACATCTTCCAGTAAGGTTTAAACAATATCTTTGCAATAAATAATCGTCATAGAGGAGAGTCAATTCCCCAAGAAAACAATATTTCTGCTCAGAAATACAGCCATCTATGATAGCACTAGTTTTTGAAGACTATGGGTCTGAAACAACTGTTGTAGAGTAAGACCGCCAAGTACCTGAAATTAAGCTTAACAAGCGTACCCTCTGCGTCATGATAGAGCTCTTTGGCTAGCCAGAGTGATTAACTAAATGGACGGAGAAAGCCCACGAAGGAGTCAGCAAATGTCTAATAAACAGAAATGTGCTTGCAGGTTAAGAACAGTCATAAATTGACTGCACACAGAACAAGACTGTTTAAACCACCAACATGGATCACAACTGAACGCCTGGAATTTCCAAAGTCTAGACACCAGACCAGTGATCAAAAGGCATGAAAATAACCTGATTCTGATTGAATGAAATTCCTTGTACGAGTATTCATCTCAGAGAAATGTAAGCAAGTTTTCATTCCAGTCGGGTAAAATTGCGTAACCTTTAAATGTTTTTCGCATCGTTGAAAATACGGAACATTAAACAGTAGAACTTTCGCATGATACCAATTATAAGTCGCAAAAAATATTTGATTTCTACATAACAAATTGCGGCCAAATGTACTAAGATATATTGAGGTCCAAAAATTAGTTGGTGAATTGAAAAAGAACAGATCTACAGGCAGAAGAAACAGAAGTAGTGAAACAGCAACCGAATAACGCAATACTCTTAAAAAACAGGTGCTAAGACCAACAAAATTGGTGCTGTAATTACCATCGCAGGCAAACTTCTAGGTTGATTCGATCCCATCTAATACCTGTCAACTCGAATTGGACACAATGCTTGCCTACTACAAGCAAAAAACCTACATTCTACAATCGATAGGACACATCAGAAGACAGTCCAAAAACAGCGTCGTAATCGTCACCCCATCCGCATCGTCTGCCGTGAACAAGATTTCCGTCGCCGACTCACGTAGCCACGAAGGGATGTGAACAAGTCTCGTTCCTTCTCCACATCCCTCCAAAGGGCACGTGAAGCTCTCCGTCGCATAGGGTGGAGGTTGAATTGAACAACTCTCTTCTGACTTCTCGCTCTCCTCCATCCATTTCCGCCACGATGCGGCCCTATTTGCGGGACTGATGAAACAGGCTCGCATCAAAATGTCCTCCAACATTGCATGCCCATCAACACAAATGTCAGGAACTTCGGAGAGCTTCTGACGCTCAGCACCGTCATCCTCCACGAAAGCATGCTCACGGATCAGACCCTCAAGCCGCTTATGGATGTGACGGCTGCCAAGGTGAGCAGAGTGCCAAGTGGAGAGTAGAGTAAAGCCTTCACAGACAGGGAGAACAAGAGCCTCTGAATATCCGCAATCGAGAACCAGGCCTGTGGAAATGCCGAGGGTGAATAAGGCCACCAGGTGAGCCGGAGCGAAGAGAATGGACGGCACTTCAAAGTGACGGAAGAGAAGATCAGCTATTGTTTGGCGAAAATTCGTGGGAGTCATAATGGACTCCACCATAACCACACGACGTTCCTTTGGGTTGACAAGAAGATATCTGAGGTGAATACGAAGGTAAGCGACAAGCCGTACCTATAGCAAAGACGATAGAAGAGTTCTTTCAGAGAGTCGTAGAGGTTGGTAGTTGAGAAGTCCATTTTGACGAAAAGGGAAGGAAGTATGAAACGCGGGCATGCTTCGCCAGCGAAACCGCATCTGAATGGAAATCAATGATTATTGGCATGGATTATTACTTTATGTAGGCTGTTCCGAGGTCAAATATGATGGGAGTCTTTTCGCCAATAATTGAATCATAGACAGTCATGTTCTAAAACACAAAAGTAAATACGTGGTGATAAAGCCAGACATGATACAAGCTTCCAACTGATTTCGCCATCAAATAAAGCGTTGTATCAATCAAATAACCTGAAGGACAGGATGGCTGGTAAATCAACGTGTTCATAAAGGCACCAATAATGAGCACGAAGAACTAGCACTACCTACGGCACTAAAACCCACTATCAGATCAATTGTAGCGCTTCCGAAGGCAACGCTTTATAAGAAACTATGGGCAATAAAATCACGATTAGCTACTAACCAAGACGACTATAAAAGCAATTATTTGTTAATTCTATTGCCGTAGCAGTAAATGCTGTTTCAAGCATTAAAGGTTTGTTTAAGTTGCCACATATTTCCTAACTTAATTTATTGCATAAAAATTCATCACTACTACATCCAACACAACATAATTCAAGCTTACGCTTTACACGCCCTTAGAGGGACACCATATCTTTGGCTGCGTTTTGTTTTAGGTGACGCTAAAATGGAATTCCCACTTGAGGCTATCTTTGCTTAATAGGGAGCAATAAACGCTAAAAAATTTTTAATCGTTTTGACCACTGCATTGTGAGATAGATATCAACGCACTATTGAAAGAGTGCAAAGAGTAGAACGGATACAACGCTGGATCACGATAAATGTTGCAATGGCGTGGAAGACTTCGGGACCTACTGACAGCCTGAAGGTTGGGCTGCCAGGTGCCGTGCCAGCTTTCATTGCTCACAGCACTCTCCACAGTCGAGTGAGTATCATCATTACTCGGAAAAGGGGTGCGTAGAAAATTCCCTTAATTAAATTAAATAAAGTCCCAAAGCATTCTCCTGAGGCGATATGCATACGTTTTAAGAAGTGATGCCCTCCAACCCTTCTGAAATTTTGTGAAGCATGCAAAAAACCTCCCCAAAATAGACGGAGCAACAGCACCCCAAGTGCCTATCATTCGTAAACAGAATCGTACGCAAAAAAAAACACTGTACACACGCGACATCAGGGCGAGGGAAACCCTAGGATACGCATAAACCACGCTAGTAAAAATACAATGGGCTGACAATTTCAGATGTAATCAAAAGTCACAACATTGAAGCAACAAAATTACTCTTTTATTCGGAAGATTAGCACCGCGCACAAACATGCATCCAATAATAATGAGTGACAAATATATACGTATTTATATATATGCATATTATGTACATGTATTCCTGTACAAGGAGGAACTCGCGCACTGCTTATTAGTAAAACCGATTGTAGTATTAATAAGAATAATGGCAAAGAGGATTTAAAAAGGAATATATAATTATCACAGCGTTCTCCTAGAGGCTCTTCTCCTACCTCCAGCTCTTCCCGAAGTTACTCCTGCCCCCACAGAAGCCGAGGTTGCGTTCGCAGCTGACATCCTCGTGGAAGGTCGATTTGCCACTGCTGTCAGCCGTGCCCTCTTCACAGCCAGCCGCGAAAGTGCTCCACCTGCTGTTCCCACTCCAGATGCATCACCACTAGTGGAAGAAGAGGTTGACACTGCCGAAGACGACGACCAAACAGCCTTCTGGGGGGTCATAGAGGTCGTTCTTCGCTTCCGCAACTGTCGTCCGCCGCTACCAACAGAAGCATTCGCCTCTCCAACGAGACGCTGCAACATACCCTGCTCTTTTAACTCTTTTAAAAAGGCTCGAATGAAGGGCTCGTAGTTGTGGATTCGTCGAGCTGCGTCTACTCGATATGCCTGCCGTTTTGACTCTTCTTCTGCTAGAGCTGCAGAACAGGCGCGCGCTTGTGCTTCTATACCCTCTAAAAGCTGACTGAGATTCTCTGTAGTCAAAAACGCCGTTGTTGTTGTCGTCGATACTGAGGAATCATCTCTATTTAGAACCATCCCTGTAGAACGCGTATTCGCAAGTGAATGTGAGGCAAGAGTGTCCCGTTTTGTGGACGAACGAGTAGGATATTTGGAAACTGGACTGGAAGACTCTTTGGCAATGCTCCTACGGCGTGTAATAACCCCTTCTGGCACCTCATCCGAGAGAGCGTTATTATTTGTGGCGCAGATGTCTCCCTCAGTGAGATCAATACAAATTGACGTAGGAGAGGAAACTGAGCTGCCAACTTCACGAAGATTCGGCCTGCGTGAGGCAGCATTGGTATTAGAAGGGATGGAGGTGGGACGTTTCAAAGGCTTCGATTGTCCTGCGGCAGCTGCCGCTGCTGCTGCTGCTGCAGCCCGACTGGCCGCCCGAGTGACTGGTCGCCCATCCGCTTCCAATTCGCCCTCCATTGCGTCAAGAGACCACTCTCCTACATCCTCCGCATCCACTTCTACCTCCATTGTTTTCAGCTCCACCTCCGAATCTGGTTCTGTTTCCACCGACTCCTCCTCCATAGTTCTGACGGCACCGTTAACTTCGACCCCATGTGGTTCCAGAGAGCCATTGTGCTCCAACTTGATGGCTACAGCAGTAGCGTTGCTGTTTGTCAACTGCCTAATGGTCTTCTCAAGAATTGAGCGGTTCTTCTCCAAGTTGTCTAATCGCGAAGTCAGAGCTAAACGACGATCCGGCACCACCGCCATTAGATTGTAGCGTACTTCTTGCTAAAACAATGCAAAAACCCCTTCTTTATCTTTTTGATTTAATATAAATACTCACCACAGGTTAATCACTGAATTTTGATGTAAAAAATGACGGATGCAACTAAGTTAAGTTTGCGATCAGGAAAGACCTCTTCCAGCATTACTAACTGTATGATAAGGCAAGACTTGTAATGAAGGCAATGAAAAACCTGGCTTCCAGCCGAAGAGCTGGTTAAAGCGTTTCAGATAGGGAACAGCTTAGTGCTAAATTAAGCGATAGAAAAGTTTACTTTGCAAACAAAACAGGAACACCTCTTCGACGAGTCTGTTCATTTTATCAAATGGCTACATGTGGTGATGATGGACAATTTGTACAATTCTCCTATTCTACTCACGTCACGGGTCTTCTAATTGGGCGGTAAGCTGAAAACGCTTTGATCGCATATTCAACCACGTGGACCCTTCAAATTTTAAACCCAACCAGACGCGTGATGCTTCAACCATAACAGGAGCCTCCAGGCCATCCGCGCGTAAATGACAAACCTTATTCCATAGCAAAATGGCCCAAGTCGCAGACTTAAAACTGCTAAAAAAATGCCGGTGATAATATAACATTCAAATTTGTAAGACAGATGAACCACAACCCCAACAAATGCAAAGATATGCCGCCTACGCAAGGTGACGTCGCTTGTAGCTTTCTAAAAAATCTAATGACTTATTTAATAAACAACTTTTTAAATAGGAAACATCATCGACTAGCAAATCTTTTGATGCTTCTTGAATTCGCAACGCAATAAAAATTTATATCGCTAACCATGGGAACTTTTGAACCTTCAAATGTTTTGTTTAAGTTATTGCCAACTTCGTTACTGAGCTGGACTCGTGAAGCTGTGGTACCTGCCATTTCGGGTAGCCACAATAAATGCGACATTGAAGGAACGCGGCTCCCTACATGGTTTGTTGTCGAAATTGGTGTTCTGTCACTAAACTCTCCTCATCATAGTCCCACCAAAGTCACTTCTTGCAACAAACGAAAAAGTCAAAAAAGGCAGACGTGAATACTTTATAGGGAAGACAATAAGTCCAGTGGTGAGGAAACCTTTATCATGCATGCCGTCAGAGGTGAGAAAATGAAAAGTAAAGGGAAGCACTGCACGCCAATGTATGGGACGACTAAGAGGATTCCCTCGACTTTTGTTCGCAAAAATCATACAGATAAGGAAGAGTTCCGCGAATTCTTCGATTGCTGCATTAACCGCTGCTGTTATTTACGGTGTAGCTGAACATCCTTTGGCAACAGCGCACGAGTCACCCGCCAATCCAACTTTTGCGCAACTTTTTTTGCTCAAGAAGCAGACAACTCACTCCTACATCCACCTTTGCCCCTACCCGCCTCCGCTTCAGTCCTACTCTTCATTACTAAAACGCTTCTACTCTTCTCCACATGTGATCACCTAATGGTAAAGCCAAGGAAAGGTTAACATCAGCACCTAGAAAAAAGCATAATTGTTTTCAGCCTCAAGTACCCCATCAGATTTTCTCACAGCTAACTATTGTCACACGCAACAATATGAGAATAGGCAGGGAATCATACATTTAGCAAGGCCAATAAAGGAGACCCTATTCGCCTTTTCGTCCCTAGATCATGTAGCCGAGTTGCAGCTGTTTTAAGTGTTTGGCCTCCCTCAGGAAAGTGAACAGACGAGAACAGAGCCATCCACTCGCTCACAATGTAAGTGTAGTTCCTTGGGTGGTTAGGATGCGTAATCTGAGCACAAACAATGAGACAAAGCCAAACAAAAGCCCGAGCCCATTCCTCACCGCAACTTACTTAATTACTCGAAAGTCCGTAAATATTTTAATGCGTGCAGCTTCTGTGAGAGCAGCAAAGGACGTACTGACAACCTGCTAGACTTATCATCATCGGATGTAAACACACATAAGATGAAGCCGTTTGCTCGCTGATTTCCAACCCCTTCCTTCACGATCTGAAGTGGCACAATTGCAAGCAGATCGTTTTTTTAAGTTCGCGTTGGGCACAAGTGACAGTTGCGCCTTAAAAGTCCAATCTGCAATTAACTTTATGTCAACGACGATGCGCGGTTCCTCATTACCATCAAGTAGTTGTCGCTGGGGAGTGCGTTTCACTGCCACACCTTCTATATGCGTTACGTAGGTGTGAAATTAAGTTTGACTCGGTATGTAGGGCAGACACAAGTGTCAAATTTAATTGACACTTAATGGTGAAGTTGGGGCAAAAAACCGAAGTGGTAGAGAACAGAGCGAAGGGTGTACTGATAAACTGACGCGAACATAACGACTTGTGTCGCATGCCTGCATAAACAAAGAAAATGAATTTCACAAGTCTATGGGTTTCATTGAAGCGAGGTAAAAACGAAAGATGAGTTACCTCCTCCCGTCACTCGAGATTTTTAGAACAGCAATAAATCAAAGTACTAATTTCGTGTTTGTCCAGACCTTCACTCACATCACATAGATTTCGGTTGGTCAACTTCTGGCACTTCCCGAAGTGCAGAACAAACCTACTTCTAGACCTGCATAACGTAGCAGAGAGATAATAACAAGTATCCAGTGGACGAAGTCACTTTCAGTCGGGACTGATATCGTCAGTTAAAGGAGGACTCTTCGAATTGTCGCCAAGTGTGTTCAATGTATTCGATTCAATCACACCCATTTCAGTAGTACGCCAACGGAAGTTAATGTCAGTTGAATTTCAAGCCTCCAAATTTGGCTTTACATAAACCTAATTAAGACCTCGCGACACCTGTGGAGTAAAAGCGCCTCTCTGATCACCTTAATGTTACAAGAAAAGAATACCTCATTTACCATTAGAAGAGAACAATTTTCTGTCTACCTAATTTGGCAGCACCACGCGGTAAGCGATTGGCAGAAAAGGCCCTCGTTTTCAACATTCACTTGCCAGAATCCACTCAAAGCTACTGATTTATCCCAATGCCAAACGTTGCTACTGGTAATCTGAGATGGGTGCATTGCTTTCAGTTAATTCACTGATGCTGGCGACGCATTTTCGAGAATAAACTATTCACTAGATAGGGAGAGGAAGAATTTCTCAATCAAATGAAGTACTGGGGCATTTAGCCACTAGTCGCATCACTTGCAGATAACTAGGTGATACGGAATGAGAGATCTTGACCAAGTAGTGGTCCCTTTTGCACCAAAAAAAGTTACCTTCCATCTCTCCTTAAAAATGTTTCGTCGGTTAAAAAATCTAAATAGCGATCTTAAGGTTCGCAGAATTGGAGCATTCCACGTATGAGGGAAGAAGAATCGGGTGTAAAAGGTGAAGGGCATTTTTCATCCTTGAACAAACAGTCTACTTATCCAGTTGACCAACCTAGCTTATTTGAGGGGAAGAATTGGCGAACATTATCAAATCCTAATTGAAATTGTTCAATTTTGCATACTAGACACATTTAGGGCAGACACGAGGTTAGTTATGCATTCACTTCATTTACAAAAACAGAACAATGTCGAGGAAAAAGCGCACCAAGGCTACTTCGCGCATATCCTCCTTGCCTGACTATCTGCATTTTTTAGTACCTTACCAAGTTACTTCGAGGATTGAAGAGGTGCCGGGGATGCCTGAACTCTTCACAACTTGCAATGCAGAACTGTTTTGGACTACCGAAAGAAGTTTGTTCACCAGTGTCAGCAATCACCTGCTGAGATAAAGAAGCTGAAACTATTGGCAACCCTGAGGAAATCTTATAAACACTGGGCCTTCATCTTAACACCTCAACCGCCGAAAAACTTACTGTGCTTCCCTTGCTATTAAACACATCCCGACTAGCCAGCCTAATATTTCAATCGGTCCGCGTTGCTTCCTTTTAGGCGATATTATCCAAGAGCCATATAAAAGTAGCCAATAATGGGTAAATGCCACTTCTAAATCCATTGAAATGCAATTGCGAATGCACATTTATTAAAAAATCCAAAATAGAAAATAGTACGCTCCTAAATGGCTTTTGGACATTCCTCCACCCACTTAACATCTAACAACATCTAAATCCAAATTTTGCACAAACAAAAAGAGAAACGGGAACGCTGAATCGGGAACCAAGCTTATGATGAAACCGATGAATCTCTCAATCAACTAGTATGGCTATGGAGATAGAAAGACTGCAAACACAAGTCTACTGGGGCACACTTTAACCCAACAAGTCTGCCTTTGTTTTCGACATTTCGTTCCAATCAGCCGATACTTTTAGACCGCTTAGAGGAGAGGGCAAAGTTCATTAATCGTCCTTCTGCAATACAACGCATCAAATAAACAAACTACACCAATGAGAGCGTTTGAGGGCGGCGCAGTGCGTCTTATTTGAAAACACAAGCAAAGAATGGTTTGTTATCACATTTTACAAAAAAAATTGAGCGCCTCATTCATTCGCGCACAAGGATTACAGTTGCAACATGGGTAATTGCCTGAGGAAGTGAGAAAACAAGACAAACATTTTCAAGAAACTGAAATTTAATTCTAAAGAGAATGGAAAAGGCAGTAGAACATGCCAATTACTGGGGATTCGGCAACTCCACTGGAACTTGTAATCATAGGCCAAAAGGAAAGGACTTTTGAAGGATGTCCAAAAACTATTATTTACCACTCTGACTTTTGAAAGAGGTAGGTCCCGCAAAATCGGAACAGAGGAAACAGTCAAATTGGAATAGAGAAAGCGAGCCACAAATGCGCAGTCCCAAGTCTAACTGCGTATGTAAACTCTCCAAAAACGCCTATAAAGATACAGAAAAAAACTCACATCACGCATCCGCTGCTTTAACAGGTCCAAACACTGCCGAGTCCAGCCTACATGTGTGACGGGATCCTCCAGGGGGCCATGATTAATTGGCTCCTGTTTCAAGCCGTCTAACTCGTAGAGGAATCGCCCTACAGGTAGGAAGCAGACAAAGTGGAAGGTATCTCCAGCCCCCACTCCGACCCCCCCACCCACACCACAACCCATCCCCACGACATCCTCTCCAATAACAGCCTCACCACCACCGCCACCACTGTTTTCACCATCTGTTAGGGCAGCTCTTTGCGCCGCCTCAATGGCGCAGCGAACAACCCGAGCAGAGATGGCCTCATCGCATGCTGGTGGGAGGCAGGGTGGTGAATGAGAGGTCTGTTGACGTGCATGTCGATTGTGCGCCTCCATAAGAGGTGGCATGAAGCCAATGGCGAGACCTCGGAGACTTGGTGGAAGGGGTTGAGTGGCGCGACGGAATTCGCGTAGGAGGGGACCAAGGTCCACACTCTGATGAGAGGTGTTCATGAGAATGGAGAGGAGAGAGTGTGTAGCGCAAGAGTTTGGAACCACTTGATGCGCAAAAAAGACCTCTTCTGAATCGCCTGGATCTACTTCAGATTTTAATTTTCGGCGCTCTGAAGCAGTTGAAGTGAGTCGACCGCCGTTATTAAAACCTTGGTGGAGGGCGGTAACAGATGTAGAGATTTCACCAAGTGTGGGATTGGTAGCTGCAAGACCCACATCAGCACCAGTAGAGGAGGTTTGTGATGCATTAAGCGAAGCTCCACCTCCGCGCGAGCTTCGTCGGGAGTTGTGCTAAGATACGAGACGATACATCGAATTGTAAACACCTATACGTAAGGGATCAGACTATGTATCTGCTAGAAAAGTGTTGGCAGTTTACGAAACACAATGTATTCTAAAACTGAGGAAATATAGGGATATAAAAGATGTGAGAACGTCTTGCCTTTTTCTCGTTCTGTTGCCAACGGAAAAGGAAGATGAAACCAAAGACAGGATCAGTCGGAACCTTTGAAAGCTCATAGATTTCATCAACTTGGACGCCTGTCACCCCCAGATCTTCTACAAGGAGGGTGAACAGGCCAGGGTCACTTTCCAATTCAAGCCACTCCTCCTGACCCATACCGAGTCTAAATTTGAGAAAATGATGAAAATTTTTATTGCACCTTAAACTATGAAGCTAACACAATTCAATAGCTTTAATTAAAAAGAGAATGTAGTCAAGGAAAGAGCGGTGTTGCATCTCAAAACATATCAAATTCGAAAATTTTCGATAATTTTATAAACAAACACTACAAATACACATTCCGAAGTGTAGCTATTGCAGACGAGAGTCAAACATATCAACTTATCTAGGTCCATGAAATTAAAAGAGAGGTGACTATGCCATTGCGAAAATGCATAAAGAAAATCAAGAAATGTGTAGAGGATGAGTCAGACAAGTTTTACCAGCACATGTAAGAAATAACAATTCTCATTAAATTTGTGCCGAAAAATCAAAGAACGACCATAAAAAACCGCAACAATAAAAACTAATGCGAGGTAGGTGATGGTTATGAGTAAACAGTGAAACCACTATAAGGAAAAAGGGAACAAAATAGGAGGCTACATTACTAGACGCACTTAAAACTAATTTATGAGATATAAAAGCGCAAAGGCAAACTCACTGAAACCTATCTGTGGGACAAGTGCAGCTATGAGCAGCAGCTAATGGACCAAGCTAGATTTGATTGCAGCAAAAATAGATAAGGTCAGATGAACACATTGCTCTATCCTTTGAAGGTGTACAACGAGTGGAAAAAAGGCCATAAAACAAGTCCATATGCCATTCATTTCAAAATCTTTAAATTTTCTTTTCCTATATTGCTAAATTTGGTGGCCCAAACAGCAATCATAAAAGAGAATTTTCTTTAATTGCCATTTCTAGTAATTTCCACCGAATGACGGGCCGATTAATGGATTAACCTATAAGAAACTAATTGCAGTGAGATATAGTCAATATGTACATCCAAAATTTGTGATTGTTTAAGCAATCCTCATTGTGACTTTGTCTCAACTAGTGTAGCCTAAAGCTAGCAATATTAACAATGATTATCATCACGTATGTTTACTGCTAAGCGTGAAGATATAATTGTAAATAGGAAGATGTCATTAAAAACCATGGTAAACGCTAGCATCCTTTTTTAGACGGCAGGATAAAATTAATTCGAAGAATCATGAAGAATCAGATGGCCCACTCTGGTACCACCAAAGATTTGATAAGCGACAGTCTGATGTCTGACGGTCAACATGGCATCGTTTTACCCTTGTAGGCTTGTATTAGATTTCGGGCCGTGAAAGGGTTCTGAATCTTCTTCTCCTCCTAGAATACATATATTCTTAACATCGCGATGCCTTCTTCTACCCGAGGGAAAGTTTCGTAAAAGTTTCGTTTTTCAAAAAATCTCCCCTTTTGTACTTAGTGTACCGCGACTTTCTTAATGTCCTAATCGTCCTCACACGTCAAATTAAAAGCAGAAAGCTGGAAGAGGTGCATACGGCACATATTTTTGTGAGAATAGTAGTGAAGAAACCGTGCTTACGTTTGTCTTTATAGAGTAGAAGCGGTAGATCGATTTGAACGCAAATCTGGTCCGTGAAGATCGTGAGGATTCCCTCTCCAGCTCATCTATACTTCCCATCCCCGTTCCTTCTGCTCACATTGCAGACAAGTTCTACATTAATAGTAGCTAGAAATGCTTTGCGTTTTGAATGCATCTAAACCCTTTCTGGCTATAGATAAGAAAATGACAAATGTCATATTCCGAAAATCACCATTTTAACGTCTAGAATCTTCCAACCTGGTGGAAGAAGGCTTAAAATCGAGCCTAATGCATGTATACCAGGAATAGGAGAGTGGTTTAGCCTGAGCTTACCTCAAAGCCCAGCTTAGGCGTGCAAGTGGTAAATTAATCGTAAAGTGATCTATGGATATCAACTGTTTTAGCGTTTTCCTGCATAATAACTTGCTTATTTGGCTATCTGTTGTCTTGACCTTCAAGTTAAGCCAAAGATTGATAGCTTCCTATCATCCCAGAATACTCAAAATCAATGAGATTTAAAACCTTTTTACATCGTGAGAATTCTCTGGTCTCTACATTAGGTTCAATAAAAAGATATGCAATTGTATAGATGGTATCCAATTAATGAGCATTATTTGTGGCATCCTGAGATTTCCCACAAAGTGGAAAAAAGAGGACAGAGCAAATGGGCCTGAGCATGTCCCGAAGGCCAGTACACGAGTACAACGGTCGCCAAAAGTCAGATAGTCACTTAAACAAAGCATTACATTGCATTTAGCCATAGCGGCTTTAAAGTGAATGGTGAAATTCAGCTCCTAGATTCTCAATATGCCTACAAGCTGAGGAAGTGGCAGTTTAACTACTGGTGTGGCCCGTATACAGGGATACGAGGGTAAAATATATCCCTAAAAGTAGCCAAAATAAAAAATGTTACTCAGACATCGTGTCGGGTTTGGAATATTAGCCCTTTATAGCTATTTCTACATCTATTTACATTATTGCTTACCTTTTAATCCAGTGCGTTTGGTTTCCTTTTTATATATTTTCGCAATTGGAGTGTCTTTTATCAGCTAATTTTTGGGTGGTCTGTTATTTTGCACCAATGATAACTAAAAAATCTATCGCGTTAAATCTAGTTGCATCCTCTGTGCGCATTTCGAATTTGCGTGTGGTGTGTTTGGTCTACTTCACCGTTGCTGTGCTTTGAAATGATTCGGGTTAATTGTGTGCATATGCTAAGTCTCCTTTTCAATCTGGGCGCTTTGTTTTTTTAAAAATCCTTACCGTTGGTATACTTTATATTCGGATATCATGTATTTCCTTCCACCAGTGTTTCAATTTTCTTTGTCAACACTTTTATTGACCAACTTCGAATTCTACTGTACTTTCTTTGCTGACTTTCGTCAGAGCACTTGGTACTTTTGCAAATTCTGCATTGACTAGCTAGCAATACATTATTGTGTTTGTGATACTCAGGCGTTTCCATTTGGCAGCGCTTAAGGCCTGCACACAGCATAAACTACTTATCCTTCCTTATTTTATGTTTTCCTTTAGTCCTTTAATGGCCTCCCGTGCAGTTAAATTGGGTAAAAAGGTGAAAGCTACAGCAACATTAGTGAGACATCCTCCCTTTATCAAAATATATATCCCTGCACAGCAAGCGAAACCTGCTCCTCCTCTTGGTCCACAGTTGGGAAAGGTACGTTCTTGTTTCCTTTTTACTTTTAGCGCAACATAAACATTGCTAATTTCTGCAAAGACTTCAATGAGCGCACACAGCACATCAAACCTGGGGTCCCCATCCCCTGCACCGTCATTGTCAATGTAAACCATCATTGTTGTTTTCCAGATTAAGCGTTTTTAGCCTGACAGGACCTATCAATTACAAATATCGCATCCTCCCTCCCAATATCTTCTTCGCATGGCTGCTGGCACTAAAAAGGGTGCTGCTACCCCTGGTTAGTTCAGCAAAATCTTGGTGGCTTATGGGAAAAGCGATTGTGTTTGTGGTTCTTTTTTCTCGTGCACTTTCTCGTCTGATTCTCCTGATTTCCACGTCTCTAATTCTTTTACTTCTTTTATGCCCCCTTTACGAGCTTCCTCGGTTGTAGACGTCTCTGTTTCGGTTCCCTCTTTATCCTCTTTCTCCTCTTTATCTTCTTCCTCATTACTCGACCTCTCTTCCTTCATTTTATACTTGGTTTCTTTTGGTTTTAACTTCCACACTGTTGGTGTAGCGCTTGGCTCGAATTTCTTGTGTTTGATCAGTCCCGTCATAAGCGTCCGTTTGGCAGATTCGTTAAGTTTTGACATCAACCACACGTGTCGAAAGAATCCCGCCCCAGGCAGAAGTTGTCTAAGCCGTCGCACGCAGAACATTTGCAATGACTGCTGATCGTGATGAGATAGACTGTCCATCCGCAGAATTCCTCTCATTTCCTCAATTGCTTCTCTGAATTCTTCCCATGTCTGGCCAGCCAGGTTGAACACCGCAATGAACAGACTCTTCCTAGCTCGGCTATCGCAACCCTCTCGCAAGCTCAATTGCAACAACGTGTTCACGTAATTTGCCAATACCTCCTTCACCTGCATATCTACTCCATGGAAAATAAGAAGCTGAAGGAAATAGATGAAATGCGTGTTGCTGTTCTTGGTTTGCCTACAGGCTGCCATCACTTTTTCAAAATCCACCCTCGCCGCTAGTTTGCGTGCATCGCAACCGGCGATAAAGAGCTCTGATGAGCAGTCCACCATGGTCATAGGGTTTCGGAATTCTCGCCAGATGCACCATAGCGCCTCCCAGGCGTTATCCACCATCGTAGTGCTTCTTGAAACTACGCGTTTGTGACGGTAAATGGTGCAACTGAGTCGCTGTTCCATGTTAAAGTTGATGCGTGTAGGAGAATCAGCAGCTTCGAGTAGTCTGGAATAGAGCTGAGCGTCGGGTCGGCGGACGAGGAGAGTAGAGAACTCTAGAAGGCGATAGGAGTGGAACCAGATACCCTTGGGGTCTATGCAGTCTGCGGTGAAGCAAGATGCCTGGATACTGGAACCTGTTTTGTCTCGCAGAAGAAAGGCGAGGACGCGTTTGCTGTTAAATAGCATAGCGTAAGCTAGGGGAGTGAGGAGGAGAATAGTAGGGCTGTGAAGGATGCCATCGAAGAGACAAAGAGTTCTATTCTCATCCACCGAGTAGAAAAGAGCAGTGGCCATGCAGGGCGTTCGCCTCACCACACCTTCGACGTATTCGACGCAGTCGCGACGGATTGCTGTGATGAAGGGCATGTTGATAATGTACGGAGGTAACTCGAGATTGCACATGCTCCAGCGAGTGCCTTATGAGACATTGATTGCTGCTGCTGCTACAATTGTCTTGCGCGACTTGAATCTTCTCCTGCCAGCTGTATCGATTTGAGTCTAATTTACCGTTACAAGGCTGAATACTTACTTTCTTGAAATTTAGGAAATTCGGATAATCTGTGTTTCATTCCGTGTTATACAATGTTGGCTTTTTTGCGTTTAGGAGGGTTTTTATTTTACTTTCGCTTATTGGTAAAGGTGTCTTTCTTTGAAGAACTCGTGATTCTTCAAACTACTACCTTGTTATGCAGTGCCCCTTGTAAGAAATTATAGATACACTTGGACGGGGTCATCACTTTCTTGCATACATTTCGCCGTTTTCTTCAATCTACACTGTTTTATATCTGTTTCTTTTGCACGATTTTGGCTTGTATTGGGTTGCTAGTGCAATGGGGAACTTCTTTCGAGTAATCTTTAAGCATATAATCAAAAGCAGGCTCTAAATGTTATCGTAGTCTCAGTTCAGAAATTGGTCACATGGACAACTGCTTACGACCGAGTTCAGTTTAGTTCATCATCTATTCGTCCAAGAAGTTGCATTACTAGTCTCTTTTAAATGCGGTTTTACTTCTGCTAGTCTTATTTACTTACTCCAAAGCTAATTAGTCCAGATTTTGGATATCCATGACAGATTGGCTCATCCTGCTACGCATTAGTTACCGATTACTATAATCACTCATATTCCTTAATTGGCTTTGGATCTGCCCAACCATCTACTCCATCCAACCGCTTAGTGAGGAGAATTAATGACTAAAACCAGGCCGAGGCGATCTTTATCAAGGTAATCAATACTATGTCTCACTATTTCAATTCACTGCTCTTCAGGTACGGAAGTGTCTGGTCAATTGACACTAAAGCATATATATGAGATCGCTTTGTTGAAGAGCGAAGATGCGGCGCTGCGCACAACGTCATTGCAGGGCATCTGCGCCAGTCTGATCTCTGAGGCGCATCGCGTTGGAATTGAAGTACTCTCACGTGAGGAGGAGGCATTAACTCGTGGAGACCCTGCGTCGGCCACCGCTGCTTACGCGGAGTTTCTGCGCCGTCGTGACGAGGAAGTAGCACAGCGGAAGAAGGCTCTAGAGGAAAAGAAGCAGGCCAAGATGATGCGTGTCTCCTAGACTCTGAGAGATGTTATGAACGGCGCCTGTTGTGTGCATAAACGTATCGTAGCAACAAAAGGAAAGTCGGGAATGAGCCTCAAACTCAGGTTCGCCCAGGTTTTGTTGATTTCCGAGCTGTTCAGGAGTCAGAGTAGGATGGTAAGAGTGTGTGGGGTTCCTGAACTCTGGGCATGTGTCTATTTGTCGGGCCTGTTAGTCTTGATGGCAGTCCAAATGGTGGGTCGAGCTTGATCCCCCTTTTGCGAGTGGTAATAGAGTTTGCTGTGTCCACTCGCAGCTTACAATTTGATAAAGTGGGCGGTAAATAGACGGATTCGGGTGTTTTAACAGAGGTCAGTAGTGAGATCGACATTCATTGGGGTTAGGGGACACAGCGGGAGGGGGGTGGGCGCTGTGGTGGTACGCCTTGTTGTTATAGTGTAGGGGAGAGTCGCGTATGTCGACACTGTGAGGTAGGGTGTAGGCGGCACTTGTGAAGTTAATCAGACAAGCAACAGAACAAACGGACTCGTGCTTTGGATAAGATGCGTCTACACGTTGCAAACACAAAGTCAACTTTGACAGCGTACGGGTTAGGGATAGTGCGGTTACTTCTCCGCAGGTCTATTGACGCATATTGTAACGCCCGAGTCTAGTGTCCTAAGATTTCCAGTCGGGTGGAAGAAAGCATTGAGAGGGACTAAGTACATATATTGTAAGAGGAAAGGAAGGGATTGGATTTCGCACTGGCCAAGGGACCAGTCCACATGCACAAGGGCAAGATAAACAGCAAAGCTCCTGTAGTTACTGCCTGTCTACCCTCTGGTCCCTGGTTCTCAGACTTTAAGGGGAAGTTGGTTGTAGACGATTTATTAGGCATCTCTATAAGAAGGATAGGGGAATAAGATACAGATGTGATGAACAGGAGGTGTCAATCGCAGGGAGGCTCCTCGTCGACCTCGCGCACGTGACCCACGCTTCCAATTGGTTTCCGCCTCTCGCCTATAAAAGTCCACTTAAACAACTAGAATATATTACAGCTCCCACCAGTTACTCAGATGGTCATGCGAACAAAGCATTACACTGAGACTTTCCGTTTGTTCGTAATAGGTATTGAGAATGCCTGAATACCTGGGCTTAAGAACAGTCCACACAGCAAAATCCAGGTTTTCTCCGATTTAACTTCAATGTACGTTTAAGTGGACTAGAAGTAATTCAAGCTTTGCAGTTTGTATTTCAAAGGTAAAACATTATGACCGTCGAAATCGATGTCGCGAATTAATTGGTGTTTAATTTTTCTTTAATTGTCAGCACCTACCATAAATGCTACATAGAATCCCGCATAACTCGAATATGAGTAAACAAACTTCTTCCCAGGGATGGAGGCATCTGGAAATATCTAACGCTAAAAATCACAATTGTTGCTAATTCTGCCTCCTACTGGTTCTTGCCTAGGTGGAAATAATCTGTACGGAAGGTGCCGTTATTAGGTGGCGCATTGTGGTGGTTGCATGGGTACTCGTTGGAAGAGAAAAAAACGTAAACCGACGAAAAAGAGCAGAATGATGCGCCAATTCATACAACCAAGCCCTGAGAACACAACCGCAGGTGAGTAATAGTGTTATCTTACACGGTATATATTAAGGATTGCAGTATCTGCGAGATAATATCTTTCCTGAGGGTCCCGTCGCTCTTGACTGTGAAATGGTTGGGGTTGGTGTTGACTGCAGAAGTGCTTTAGCCAGAGTAAGCATTGTTGCGCACGATGGTTCTGTTCTTTACGACGTCATAAGCCGGCCTGAAGAGATTATTACCGATTACCGAACCCGTTGGAGCGGGATACGTCCCTCAGATATGCAGAGAGCCATTCCCTTCGAATCAGTAAGAGAGCAGGTTATGCGGATTATTGAAGTACGTCGTATGTCCTGCCGATTCATCGGTAATGGATTTGCCAATTTGTTGGGAAAACCATCTCTCTTACAGAACCGTATTGTGGTCGGACATTCATTAAAGAACGACTTCGAAGTTCTCAAAATTGAGCACCCAAAAGACAAGATCAGAGATGTCTCCTCATCTCCTCACGCAAAAGCTAGGGCTCGAATATCTACAAAGGGTCCTCCAGCCCTTCGCCACCTAGCCTACGTTCTGTTAGGCCTACGCATTCAACGCAAGGAGCACAACTCCATTGAAGACGCCCAAGCAACTATGGCCATCTATCAATTGGTAGAGAGAGAGTGGGAAGCCGAATTAAAGAAGAAGGCAGCTAAACGAATGCTCAGTACAAAAAGAAGTGCCGTTGAAGGCAATACTGAGGAAATGCGTTCTCCTTCGGCTTCCACTTTAGAAATCGACAACTCTAAATTGCTCTCCGACGATGAATACTGGACAGCAGCCGAGGATAACGATTCGCCAGTCTGACTTTCAGAGTATGTATATTTTATACAAATATGACGTTCCAGCTTTGAACGCAAAAGTTCACAAATTTGGGTATTATTCGGCTTCCACAAACGGATTTGAGATTACCTCCATCCCTTCGGCTGGGCAGACTAATTCCACAGACGGGCCACTAAAAGGAAGATCAAACAGTGATCTATGTACTGTGGGAGATTTTCTTTTTTGAAGTGATAACTTACCGGCAGACGACCAGACCGAGTTCGCGAGTGTCCTCAGTGAGACGGGAAGGGTCCGCAGGATCTCGTAGGTATTCAATTGTATTATCAAGTACCATGTTTTGTAGGTTGTCACAGCCCTTTAAGACGCCTGTGGCCTCCCGGCCACCAGTGAATTTAACGCGAATGAGCTTGTCCTGGTAGCGTGTTAGGTCGATGATAGACTCCTTTTTGGGACGCTTAGCTGGAGTTGGTTGCTGGTCTCCTGACATGATCGCTTAGTGTTCCTATAAGTCATGCACATAGATTAAAAAAAGAACAGTGAGGACACCGGGTGTTTCCGAAGTAAAGCCTTCTTATCTCTGTGCACACATTAAAGTAATCTATCAAAACTATGAGCGAGAAACGTCTAGAAGGAAGATAGGGAGCGGAAGGGATAAACTGAAAAATAGCAGTTGGGGACAAACACCAAGAAGTGCGGCAGGAGGTAGTGCCTTCAGCATGGTTGATGCACTGTTGATTTCCACTTTAATATTTGTTAGAAACTGCTCAAATAATTACAGAGTTGTTTAATAAAAGATACCGCACGAACAGCCTATGGGTTGGAAATAAAGTAAGATAGAGGGGTGGGGAGATGTATGTATTTCAGTCAGAGATCTGCATCCATGTGAACAACGAGCACTACAAAATGGAGGTCAGCGCCATGAAAACACACAAGTTAGAATCGGTGTCGCCATTGTATTTCTCCTACAGACTCACCACACTTGTGCTCCAAAGACTGCTTGATTAAGCTTGGCTCCCGACCAATTGTACCGCCGAACAAATAGTGCAAGCAAATCTATTGTAAAAATCAGTCGGAAATAGGTAGCAAAGAGAAACACAAAATGGCAATATTAAGGAGCGAACCAGGGGTTGTGTTACGTAACATCTGTCAAGTGGAGGAATATATTTGCTTTAGAAGGTAGTCTCGGCTGTGGGTCATTACACTATTGTTAAGCGCAACACTAGTTGGTACAAATTCTAGTATTTAGAATAACGTAGGGATCGTAATATTAGTACAAATTGATTTGAAAAAGATAGTTTACAGCTTTACAACTTTTGTCTAAATTTGTCACTTTAAGCTCTTTTTTGTTTCATCGATTAATCTAGGTCATTATTTATGACCGTCAATTCAACAACGGTCGGTATCGCATGAAAAGATTTTCTTGCATTTTTGCCTGCAAAAGGGCTAAAACTGATATGGATTTTCATTCTAGCTACATTAACGACCAATTATTTGAAGACATCAAGCGGCTATCGATTACTTCAAGCATCGTCATTCTGGGTAACTTTAAAAGCTTATTTATTTGGCTGAAGGCAATGAGATGTCTGGCAAAAATACACTGATCAACCAAGTAAGGTAATTTAAAATTTTTCATAAAAAGTTAGATTGGTAGCTGGTGATGGTCTTCTTGATGCTTACCGCCTTTCCGTTCGGGAGCACTTTTTTAACAACATTACCTTGAATCTTCTTCATCTTTTACGCGAATTCGGAGCTCGTGGCTTGGATTTTGATGGGACAGAAACTGCTGTACTTACTTCTGCAAGTTAATTTTTGTTTTCTAGGAAGACGCAAAGGTTATTTTTCGGAATTCGGATCAAATAAAACGAGGAGCCATTTCACCCAAAATAATTTCTGCTCTGAAAAATATTTGGAAGGACACATCGATGCAGACATTTATAAACTCACACATTAGTCAGCCTGGCTTCTCAACAAACTAGTAATTCGAATTCAGCTTGCTTATTTGTAGCTTCTTTTCTTCGCTTGATCGCATACTTTGTGACGACTTTCTTCCCTCTAATGCTGATATTTTGCACATTAAATGTGGAAACTGCGGCGTGGAGGAGGAAACTATCTTTCGTGAAAACAGATATTTTAGGTGAGTTACATTTTTATTTTTCTTTTTTTGAGTACCCACTTCAGGGTCCGACGAGTGTTTTATCCTATAGGTTTATCCGTGTTTCAATGAAGAGATCTTCAATCCATAAATGGGTACAGTTCTTTGAAGATGCCGATGCCATTATTTTTCTGTCATCCCTTCTCGGTTATGGATCTTATATGGGGTCTACTTCTGGGAAGGTTGGTTTTGGAGATTGTTTATTTCTTTGTCAAAGGCTTTTTTTACTTATTCGGAAGCTTGCAGGTATCCCGGTTGGCAAACTATAATCTGATAAGTTTAAGCAACCCTATAGGATCTTTGTCTATCATAAATATTACGGATTACATCTTATATAGTAAAAATGCTTTAAGCTCAATCTTTGGCTTTACCATATGACAGTGATTGTTTAATGTCAGTTTGATGGGATCCTTCATGTAGTGTACATGGAAGAAAAACAACCATAAATATTGTGATAATTATTTATTTCATAATGCGAGTGTTACACCCTCCATTTCAAAATCGCATCAGAGTGCACTTCGTTTGGAATAGTGAGCCTGTCGAACCCCAGCTGTCAGTCGTCTTACCTTTCTTAGCCCCCTTTTTCTGCAGTATCCACAGCCTACTCGAATCATGAAAGGAAGTCAATTAAAGCTTGACAATAAAGTCGTAACATAGGAATTTCAGCTTAAACACTGGATGTGTTGCAGGTGTACAGGTACTACTTTCTTGCTTTTGGGAAATCGAGTGAGTAGTATCTCTTGCATAGCGTTTAGCAGTAGATCACTATTCATGCATAATGAGTAATTTAACGTGTAACTGTGGCAAAGGTCATCCGATGTAATGTCATCGCAAAGACTGCTGTAAAACCGTATTTTTATGTTAGGCAAATCCTGATATTTTGAGCAGTCGGCTGTAAAAATCAATTTTTTTACAATTTCGGGAAAATTATTGGGCTACTGGTCCTATTCTTGCTCTTGATGTTTGGTTTTACTACGTCAGGAGATCTACGCAAGCTGCTTAATATTGTATTTGTGGCCATGTAATGGTCTGCTTCCCTTAAGAATGAAACAACTCTCCCATCTCATTGGATAGCAAAACATATTCATCCTTGGGATTAGAGGTTATTAAGTCTAAAATCTTTCATCACTTAATCCAGCTGAGGCTCCGAGAAGACATGGATTACTTTGCAGCCATCTGCAACAGCAAGTGGTTCTACAAATGCACCACAATCTTCCTCATCCTCAACAAATTTGATCTCTTTCAAAAGAAGTTGGCCATCAATCCGTTAAAAGTCTGTTTTCCTGATTACAAAGGTAACTCTTCCCTTCATCTTCTTCTGTTATTTCGGGCCAGAAATAAAAACACAGATCCCTCTGTGAGGGCAATAAGGTACAGATGCTGCTTGTCTGTTTGAGAGCAGCATTTTTGGCTAATGCTTAAGGTACTACCTCGCCAGAGAACGGAGGTCTAATCCCGCTATTAGGCCGGCTATTTTCGGGGTGTTATCCTGTCCCAAAAGTAAGGACGACGCTGCATTTTATGGTGCGCTGCAAAGTTAAAAAAGAAGGACTGTGTTAATAGCACGTTTTAATTGTTATCCACTATGGTAATTCGCTGTTGCATCTCCGATAGATCCTGCGCTTTTGTGACACTGAGAAACAGACTTCACTTGATTTTTAAAATGGGCAGTCTAGAACATGTTCTCAATTGCTGTTGCCAGACGGCTAATGGACTGAATTATGGCATATGCTTAAAAAGTAGCAGAAATTTGTTAAAATGCGCTAATTATAAATTTGCAACCTTGGCTTCTGAAACAAATGGTCAAGATAAACTAACAATGAATATATTAAAGGATTAGAAAATCGAAGGTTTAACTTATGTTATTAATGTCTGCTACTTCAAAACGGTATCCAATTTCAATTTCCCACCCATTACCTCTCTCAGCTCATGCCTGTCAAGCAAATCTCAGAATGCCTTAAAACTCGCGCTCTCGTTTTGTTGTCCTGATCGGTCACATTGTGCCTCTACCGATAAATCAGTGGCCTCGTGCAGACATTACATCTCTTCGTGCGGCTCTGATGTGGTGGCAATGCGGCCTTGACCTATTTCGGATGTCCCAGTTATGAACTCACTGAAACTCATGCTCACACTCATTGGCACCAGTTTAAAGGGAACGTGTCCCCTCCCTGCTCTTTTAATCACGATTGCAGGAATTAAATGTTTCGTTTTGGTAGCCAAGTCATTTGTCACAGTGAAGGACCTTTCCTCCTTCATTGACCTTCTCCGCTAGGGCACCGCTGAAGCCTGAATGTTGTGCTGTAGATCTTCTCCAAAGGGTTATCAATTAAGGGAGGTTTGGCAGGCGGATAAAGTCGAATGTCGCAACGCCAACGTGGTGGCGAAAATTTTCAAAGAATGAATACTCTGAGTGGTTGGATAGACACCGGCTGTAGGCATCATGTCGGTGAAAATGGGGAGAGGGAGTGGGTATGACGTCTTCTTTCCATTCTAAACACCTCTCATTTGATTGTTGACCAGTCCCCTCAGCACCTGCAGTTTTACTGCAGCAATTTTTCTTACCGATAACGTCACCTCTTCGTTTGGAACCCTCGCCATAGCCATTAGCGTTTAAGGGATGACATTCATCGGAAGTAGTTGATTCTACCATTGTTCATAGTTTTTGATCTTCTCCCTTTTGGTAAGTCAGATTTAGGAGTGTTTGCCTTACTGACTGGGTTCAACTATCTCTAGGGGCTTGCTTTACTCTGTGGAAAGGTTTTAACACTCAACAATACTCTGTTGTACATCGCTGCTTGTACAGTGAAGGTTTCGAAAAACCTTTCATTGTCAATGGCTTGTCTAATGAAATTATCATATGCCTCACAAAACAGAAGATGAAAGCCCAAAAATGCCTATGAGGCAGGTGGTAGTCTAAAAACTACGCCTTGGGGATGCTTGATGGTTGATTAACTTATGGAAGGTGGCGGCTTTTGTTTGTTTCTTGTCGCAGCTTTAATTATGCAAATGGACAGTCTTTTGGCTTACTTCGAACGCTTCACCTTGCTTTTCTTTACATACACTTTAGCCCCATTTTCTCCTCCAATGGACTGTATTTGCTTTGCTTGTTTGCGGGTGTTTGTAGTAGGATGGACTTGCTGAAGGTCATACAAAACGGAGGCTTATCGACACAAAAACGAATTGTTACAGTGCAACTATGTGGAAAAGGCAATTAGGCTTGACGAACCGGTGGGAAGAAAGCCAGCTTCTCGCAAGGCACTTTCCGACCAATGCTGTCTCATAGCCTATCCGTGCGACGACCTCAAACCGCATTTAAGGATGGGGAGGGGCAGGCGGAGTGGGAGAGGTTATACAGCTTCCTCACATCCTCGTTTGCCTCATTCTTCTGATGTTGTTTCTTCCAGTAATGGTAATCATTTTCTCTTTGACATCGCTATTGGACAATGGCATGTTTGAGTACGAGGTAAGTTAGGCGGTCATCAAAAATAAAGCGTAAGTGAAGCTCCCTAAGGGCCTCTGTGTTTTAGGCGAACCAAAGCCCGCAGTCTCAGGTCAATAATTGTAATATCTTTGATAAGTCGCCTGGTGGTAGAATGGCCTGCTCGGTAAGACAAGCGATACATTACCTCTGCATCCTTGAGAAACCTCTTAGTATCGTCGTCTAACACGCTGTATGTCGTTGCACCACGAGGTATTCTACGATTCTCTTGAAGGCACAAGGAGAATTTATGCATTATCAACGTATAAAGCGGCTTGAGGCTACTGGCATGGACTGAAGTTGGTTCGTTACCAAAACCACTACAAGAAGAAGAGCGAAACTTCTGTAGAGCTCGTGCATAAAATGGAAAAAAATAAGTCCTGCCAAATGTCCCAAAGGGTGACTTCTTGGCTTAAAGTACTCGCATTAGAAAGATGTGGAAACAGTGGAGAGAGTCTCATCTTCCTCTTGCTACTTCGTTTTAAGCCGGTATGGGGTTTCACGTTGCGTTGCCTCTCAGTGATGGCGGGTGGAGGAATTAACTGTGAGTGCGTTCAGGATGGGCGAGTGGTCATGGCACTTTAGGGGACTTTCTTAACTCATCACAGTTGACACCGCGTCGAGTAGACTTCTAGTACACCATAATTTCAGCATTCTGATGGCATTTTATTGTTATTAGTGAGTGCAATTAGTAAAGTTCAAAAAATGGGATAACTTTCTCAACTTCATGGAGCCCTTTGCCAGCAATTGGTCTACGTTTTTGGTACAATTTTTGCTGTTCCACATTCTCTCATAAAGAGTCTGCAGATTAAACTAATTCTTTTTTCGCATGAAAGTCGAAAAGATAAAAACTCCTAGCAGAGCATCAACAGGGCGAAATGATTAGCACAAATCCACTCAACGCGCTCCTACGGAAACGTTATCCTCTAAGCGGTTACCTCATTCTCAACGGCCCTCCTAATTTTGAGAAGCAAGTTGGGAGTAAAACAGTTTGATTAGGGCAGAGGATGCGTGACTCGATGGCATCGTAGAACGCCTCTCCTCGTGCCGAAGAGCTCCGCTGGTGCACATCCGTTCCAACGGGAGAAGTTGCGTTTCATTATTTTCCCAACATGACTTTGGGAGGGTAAAATTGATTTTAGGAGGAAAGTCTCATTGCATTTTGAAGACAACCCCCAAAAATATGTAAAGGGGTGTGTTTTGAAGCTTTTATACTCATTTCCTCAGGATGCTGACCAGTCAGTGGAGTTAAAATATCTAAAATGTGCAGTCCAAATGCTGTTTTCACGAGTTAATTGAAGACAAGCTTTAAAAAACTTTAACTTTAACTTTATTTGCTTCACTCTTTGGTGGTTTCTTTTGCTTCGCCTTTCACTCGTTGTCGGTTGAAGAACAGAAGCACGATTTGATGACCTCATGCAGGTAGGGTTTGGGACCCATCTGATTAAAGGAAATAAAAAGATTTATTTTCCTGTCTATTTACTTCAGGATGCTCAGTTCAAGTCCCAACAAGTGAAGAAAAAGTATGTGTAAGAGGAGTAGATTTGCAGATCTTTTTTCCGTCGCAGTTGGATCGCGGAACTCCTGTGCAGCTCTGACGACCTTTCTCATTAGTGCCATCGGACAAAGGGACGAAATCTTGAAAAATTTGTCTATCAAGAAGACAAATCAAAAATGCTTTTTACTCATTCGAAGATTTCATTTAACACAGCGAAACCGCACCCGCGGCATGTCGTTTATCCGTACGCATGCGAGCCTCATTGACTGCCACGCCACACATTTTTGGCTGCAAATTGATGACCCACACAAACACTGAGTTGTTCAGACTGACAAATTCTTCACTTTCTTGCATGTATACTTCAGGTCACCTATTCGATCTGGCATACAACAGCTAAACACTAGGCAATTCATGACTTACTTTGTTCCCTTTTAAGACCCTAAGTGGTGTGACCATCGCACCGTTTCGTTGGCATCGCCTGTCACCGCTGTAACCAACTCATTAAGTTGTACCGAGCTGATCTAACGACAAGTTATGCAACTAATTTAAATCATCACTCTCTCCTCTTTGCGACCCTCAGTATTATCGAATCTCGGCCGAAGCAAATCGACACAAGCCTATTCTAGCGCAAGTCAACTTCTTGGTGCCTTATGTGGCTGGCAGTTGGGAGATATGGGAGAGAAGGTCGCCTTCTTCTTTAACCGATTGCTTCAAACTCGATAATGAATTGAATTGCACAAAAGAGAAAACTGTGTTGAGCTGCCGTTATTTATGCGCATGAGCTCTCTGAGAGTCACTGTGGACACTCGACAGCTCCACTTGTCGTCAGTAGGCATTAGAACGCTTGAAAGCAAACCATGCCCCGGTGGAGCTCTCGTTCAAGAGGCTCTATTCCCTCAAAATTGTTGATTTCTTCATGCAGAATAACTTCCGGTTGCTTGGATGCACTGCAGATTATTATCTCCTCATGTCTGGACAAAGATTTGCTAAATTTATCTACAGGCGATTAAATCTTTATGTTGAAGGGTTTTGCCTTGCTATGCCCCAAATGCTTCATGTCAAGCAATAGGAAGCTGTAAATTTCTTCCAAGTTATTGATAGTCTCCTTCTGTGAACTGAATATCTCACATGTTTTGTAAATCGCAACGGTATTTTAAAATCTCCGCAAGAACTTGTACATTTCACAATAATTACCAGTCTTTCTCATTCTAGGCAATGGCGATGCGATGAAGGCAGCAAATTTCATTCAACGGCGTTTTGAAGCCCTCAACAGAAGTAAAACAAAGCGAGTGTACACGCAAATTACGAGTGTCCAATCGGACGTCGAGGCCATCCACCACCTTGTCGAGAAGGTGATCCAACTTACTGCAAAGCCACCTTTACAAATCAAATAGTCGAACCGCTTTTCCTTCCCCACATAAAGTCAATTGATTGTCAGGATAGTTGAAATTATGGTTGGCCATAACTCTCAGGCGCTAATACAGGAGACTTTCCCGAAGGGGATGATAATTCGAAATCTAGGAGACTTAAGCTCCCTCGGAGGCTGGGGGATGGCAAAGGAGGCATAAAACCAATCGTAACAGGACATCAAAGTCTCTACTCCATAAGTGATGCGCAAAGAAAAAATCAGGCGTTGCACATGCGTAGTGGATTGACCTACTGGTCTAAACTCACCTTAGAGTAAGACAAGTTTTGTACTGGTTTGACCCCACAAATCGACTTGATGGCTTGACTAGGCACTTTATCCTTTAAAAACGACTGAACAACTTGATGCGAGCCTCTCCGTTTGAACGCCTGATAAACTTGCCCTCGTCACCGCCTCCGATTACATCTCGATTTTTTTACTTTCCAACGCATAGGTTCTGTTTGAGACTAGGAGGAAGCCAGAGGAAAGCTACGCTTTCTCCTCCCTTAAGAAACCATTTGGTTAAGATTGAGCGCATTACTGTGTTCCTTCGAGTTGAACTGATCACAAATACCACCGTACTTTTGGCCTCCAGGGAGGGGACGGCAGTATGCAATGTGCACACGATGACAACATCGTTTGGGTGTCGAGCGGTACGAGGCCAAGTAAGTGAATTCGGGGGAAGAAACCAGTTTTTCAACTACCACCATACCGTTCCCAGACTTTCCATGTGTTTGTATTCAGACGGAAAGGGTAAAAGTAGGGCCGAAGCAAGATAACCGCATTTAATGCGATAGTTAAATAAGCGAAACATTAGGTAGCCTCTCTCCCTTTTTGAGCGGCGAACCGGCCAGACTGTACCCTCGATAGCCCTCTGGTGTCATTAGAGAATGCCCACGAGACAGCCGCCATTTTATGGGACTGAGATGTCATACTTGGTTTGCTTCGCACCTTCAACCGAATCTAAGGTCACGTTCCGTAGAAAAGAAGGAATTGGAGGCAACATCTTCGGTTGAGCCTTAATTGTGTCCAAGGGGAGACATTAGAGCACTTGTCTGGAAGGCATGCGTTACAGACAAAACGGGATCAAATAAAGTTCGCCATGGAAGACGCTTAAGCGTAGAGTCATCGCTGACATCCTTGCACAAACGCGGTAAAGAGAACTCTGAAACGACACCTCTCCAGACGGTCCACGACGGTGTCAATTTTTAGCTGTTAAAAGGTCGGCTAGTAAAACACGGAGGTGGGGCGGATGGCAAACGCAGACGTCGTTTCTAGCCCTCTTGTTGTGGTGGAATTGAAGATTAGCCAACGTAATATATGGGCTCTTCATAAAGACCCTTGAAGTTTGTCACAGCCAGTGGAAACCAGGATTGACGTCTTAACATGGCCGAATTTTGCATTTGATTGCTACCAAGGCAGCACCTATAAACTTCCCATTTGGTGATGAAAGGCATTGGATTGGTAGGAGGGGTGGAAGTGGGGCTGTGACCCACCAGCCCCACCGGCAGACGCAATACAACCTTTGCTGTCTTCACTCACTCACACGTTCATTAAGATGAAAATGAAGAAGATGTCGCATTATTTGTTCTGATGGTCTGTGGACGGAGTTCATTTGCTGTGCTTCGACAACACTTTAGATTCCAACGCGCAATGATGTGAATGAATTGTTTTACTACTTGCACTTACTTCCTAAGCAATCACTCCCGATCAAGGGAAGGTGGTTTTCTAAAAGTTGAGGCATTAAATGTGGATCAAAGGTTTTGCTGCTGCACCCCTTCAAATGCTTACCACCATCTTCAGTGCAAGGTACTCATTTCAATTAAAAGTGGATGGTGGGCGAACTCGCACAGTTTTATCGTCATTTTAAAAATTTGTTAGAAACAGAGAGCTCTTGTAGCAAACATTTTTCAGTGGTGCGTAGAACAAAGTCCTACATATGTTTTTGCAATGAAGCTTTCTCGACTTCCTCTTTTAGCTAAATTACGATTCGCAATGCCTTTAAAGTCATTTATTCTCATTATTCCAAAAAGAGTTTGACAAGATCTATGCCAATTCGGAGTACATTTTTCTTCTCCAATCTTCGTGTTCACTGATATGAAGCTCAACAACAAGGCATAAAATTGGAGGCAAGCAACAGAGCAAGAAAAGAATGCAACAAAGCACTTTTGTGAGGATTTTGATTCAAAATGGATCATTCTGAGGCGCGCCTTTGGCACCACCTACTGAAATAAGCTAATTCGAGTGCACAATTTTTCCTTAACAGTATCCAAAATCCCCTAACATGTGGTAATTTCTTCTCAGCAAGTGAGCTGCTTCCATACATTAATACAATGCAAGTTCCTCTGGAGTGGAGTGGACGACTAAGTCTACGCTTCACTCATCCACGAGGCCATAGAAGCAGGAATCCATTTACAAGTTGTGTTTTTGGGAAAAAAAATGTGTGCTCCAAAATCTCAGTCTCGATAATGGCTAGTTTTCTCCCCTAGAAGAAATAGGACTTTCAATCAAAATGTCACCCAAAATGTCTTGATTGAACACCGATAATGTGACCGATGCAGAGTTAGAAAAATTGCCATTAACTACAGTCTCTGTTGAAACGAATTATAAGGAAACTTGGAATCTCACATAAAAGATACGATATGAATGATTACAGTTTTTGGAGAAACAATAAAGCCATTAGCCAAATCTTATCCAGGTACGCATTTGGTTCCGTAAAACAGGTTTTTAGGAAACTGCACAGAGAGCTCCATTGCATCGGAGTATTGCGAAGAAGAGTAACGAAACCCCGTTTAATCACCTTTTCAGCTAGGATTTTAAAGCAAAAATTTTGGAGGAATATTTTGAGTTCGAGGGACTTGAAAACCTGCAGATAAATGACTTACCCTCCAAGTCGTCAGGCCCTAATGCACTACTAATAACTGCAAGTAGCAAGCTTTTAAATATTCTGTCTTTCAATTTTAACCAACTATTGTGTTCATACATTTGAAAATAATGTAATCCAACCAGTTTTTTGTGACATTCACTTTATCATTAGCCGGGTAAGTGTCCACTACGGACATAACTTCACTCCAGTCACATGCTTGGAGGACAGGAGAGGAGGCTCCGCGTTCATCTTCACTCGTTTCTGAAATTGTCTGTAAATTTTATTTTGCTCAAATTTTCTTGCATATCACACGTGTAACCGAGTGGAGACATAAAGAGTTTTTCATTTTTACAATTGCATTGTAACAGTCTGCGCACAAACGCTACACACCCCTTCTCGAGGCTAAGTGCATTGTTTTATCAAAGAGGTGTGGCAGCCTTTTGTTGATAAAAGTCTTACAAAATATCAAACCAAAATGCTAAAGGCACTACAGATTCGCCACAAAACCACTTCCAGTGACTGAAGCTAGCACTGCCATATCACTAAGACCTCAAGCCTCATTTTTCAAAGACAATTTTTTTACAATTTAAATCCTTTTGTAGAAGTACAAACACCCCAACTAAAATTGTTCTCCATCTCATTAGTCCCGCAGCTTTCGTAACCATCGAGTTAACCGATTTTTGAAGGATTCGAATCGTACTTCCTCATCGAACTACTTAAAGACACAAGATTTGTTGTTTCCACACTTTTCCCCATGAAAGATGAAAACACTGACTAGCACTCATGACTAGAAGGCTGAGGGGACGCGAATGATTGAAAGTAAGGG